CCTCACTCGCCCCCACTTACTTCTCTATTCTCGCTCACCCGCTTCCTCGCTCCCTCGCTCCTCTCTCCTCTCGTCCCTTTCCTACTCCTGCACTCCACTTCTTCACTCGCGTACCTCCCCCACTCCCCCACTCTCTTACTCCCCCATCTTCCCTTCCCACTCCCCCACTTCCCCACTCCCCCCTCCCACCCCTTTACTCCCCTACTCCCCTTCATTCCCCCCCCTCTCTTCACTCTCCCACTCCCCCACTACCCCACTTCCCCACTTCCCCACTTCCCCACTCCTCTACTCCCCCACTCCCCCACTCTCCCACTCTCCCACTCTCCCACTCCCATCACTCCCCCACTTCCCCACTCCTCCACTCCCCCACTTCCCCATGGGGTGTATCCAGGTTTTGGGCCTAAGGTTTTGGTTCTATAGGGTTTTGGTGGAGTGAGGGGGGGGGGTGGTGGGAGGGGGTGAGAGGAGGGGGGGGGGGGGCGGGTGAAGGGGCAGCCCTCTAGCCTTCCTGCGGCCCTCCAACCAGCCCCTACAGTCAGGGGCTGGAATGGATGGAGGGGTAGGATGGGCGAGAGTGGGGGAGGGTAAGAGAGAGTGGAATGGGGGAACGGGGGAGTGGAGGAGCGGAAGAAGGAAGTAGAAGTGGGTGGACTGGGGGAACTGGAGAAATGGGGAAGTGGGGGTGCGGGGGGGACTTGGAGAGGGAGTGGGAGAGTGGAGGGGGGGGGGGGAGTGGAAATGGGAGAGTGGGGGATGGGGAGGGTGCAGTGGAGTGTAGGAGTGGGGTGAAATGGGGAGCGAAAGAAAAGGAGGGCGAGGAAGGATGGGGAAGTGAGAGAAAGAAAAAGTGGGGGAGTGAGGGAGGGGCGAGTGTGCGGGGAGGGGGATGGTGGGAGTGTGGGAGTGAGAGGGAAATGGGTCAGTGGGGGGGTGTGAGGAGTAGAGGGGGAGGGGGGGGGGGGGAAGTCATTCCCCCACTCTCCCTCTCTTCATGCCCCCTATCTCCCTAAAGCACGACCCGTTTCAGCCCCTCACAAAGCATCATGTGCTAGGGCCGGGGCTGCGCTGGGGCTTGGGGTGGGGCTGGGGTTAAATCTGGGGCTGCCTCACTGGGACTGCTGGGGCTGGGGCTGGGGCTGGGGCTGGCGCTGGGGTTGGGGCTGGGGCTGGGGCTGGGGGGCTGGGGCTGCGGCTGGGGCTGGGGCTGGCTGGGGCTGGGGCTGGGGCTGGGGCTGGGGCTGGGGCTGGGGCTGGGGCTGGGGCTGGGGCTGGGGCTGGGGCTGGGGCTGGGGCTGGGGCTGGGGCTGGGGCTGGGGCTGGGGCTGGGGCTGGGGCTGGGGCTGGGGCTGGGGCTGGGGCTGGGGCTAAATCTGGGGCTGTCTCACCGAGATTGCTGGGGCTGGGGCTGGGTTGGCTGGGGCTGGGCTGGCTGGGGTTGGGAGGGCTGCACTGGGGCTGGGGCTGGGGCTTTGAAGATTTTGGGTTTTTTTTTTGTGTTTCGGCAGGTTGTCTTGGCGTTTGGGAGGGTGGGGGTGTTTGTGACAAATTGTAAATTTTCTGTCCCTGGGCTGGGCCTGACTGGGGTTTGGGCTGGGGGGGGGTTGGGGCTGGGGCTGGGGCTGGGGCTGGGGCTGGGGCTGGGGCTGGGGCTGGGGCTGGGGGCTGGGGCTGGGGCTGGGGCTGGGGCTGGGGCTGGGGCTGGGGCTGGGGCTGGGGCTGTGGGTGGGGTGGGGGGGGGGGAGGAGAGTGGGGAGTGGGGGTGAGAGGGGGGAAGTGGTTAGCGCGGGAGTGGGATTGGGTGGGGAGTAGGTGGAGTGGGAATGGGGTGTGGAATGGGGGGAGTGGGGGGGAGTGGGAGGTGGGATGGGGCTTTTTCAGGAGCCTCCCACTCTCTTCACTCTCCCCCCCCCCCGTTCCCCTCACTCCCCTTTCTTCTTCTCTCACCCCCCCTCCACTCTTCCCCCACTCATTCCCTCCACTCTCTCCACTTTCACTCCCCCGTTTTCTTCACTTCCTCTATTTCTCCTCACTTCATTTCTCTCGCTTCCCTCATTCCTCCACCCCTGACTCCTCCTCATTTCACACACTTCTTCTCCCTTCTGTCATTCCCACACTCCTCTCACTCCCTCCACGGTCTAAGGAAAGACATAAGGAAGTGAGCTACCACTTTCCTTACTCCAGAACTTTTTTTGTTGACTCTTAAGGGCTTCATTAAGCTCTTTAAAAGAGCGGGACCCTATTACTTTGGTCTTACTCGCAATGAAAAACATGATTTTTTTTACTGAATTCGATTATTTGGGGCACTTCTCCATTTTATCCCAGAAGGGCCAGGCAATTTTGGGCCTGGGTGGGGTGGGCGGGGGGAGGGTGGGGATTAAGGTGAGTAGGGAGGAGTGGGGGCGTGGTGGAGAAGTAGAGGCAGTGCAGAGTGGTGCGGTGTTTTATCCCAGGAAACGTTGCAAAAGTTTGGGCGTGGGTGGAGTGGGGGAGTGGGTGGGTGGGGATTGAGGGGAATGGGAGTTGGGGGGGGGAGTGGTGGGGAGGGAAGTGGTGGGGGGGGCGGAGTGGGGTGAGGAGTGGGGTGGGGAGTGGGCTGGGGCTGGGCCTGGGGCTGGGCCTGGGGCTGGGCCTGGGGCTGGCCTGGGGTTGGGCCTGGGTCTGGGACTGGGGCTGGGGGCCTGGGGCTGGGGTGCTGGGCTGGGGTGCGGTGCTGGGGTGCTGGGTGCTGGGGTGCTGGGGTGCTGCGATACTGGGGTCCCAGGGTGCTGGGGTGCTGGGGTGCTGGGGTGCTGGGGCTGGGGGTTGGGGGGGCGGGACTGGGGCTTGTTGTGGGGGGAGTGGGGGGAATGGGGGGAAGTGGTGAGGGAATGGGAGTGGGCACGTGTGGTTGCAGTTTCGGAGCCAGTGGAGTCGGAGTGGGGGGAGGGGGGGGCGAGGGGGAAGGGAATGGGGGGGTGGTAGTGGTAGTGAGTGGTGGGAGGGGGAAGGAGTGGGGGTGTAAGAGAAGAGGGGGAGGAGAGTCAAGGGGAAGAGTGGGAAAGAAGGGTGGGAGGGGGAGGGTGGGAGGGCGGGGAAGGGGGGCAAGGAGGAAAAGAAAAGGGGGCGGGGGGGGGGGGGGGGGGGGGGGGGGGGGGGGGGGGGGGGGGGGGGGGGGGGTTGGGGGTGGGCAGGTCGCACGTGTTGCTTTTTTTGGTACCGAGCTGACGTCGTAGTTGATTGCGTGGGTTCTTGTGTAGGTGTTCAGGGGTTCGTGGCTTTGCATACGTCGTTGGCGTGTCTTTGGCTGTGGCCTGCCTGAGCGTCTTCTCCTTGTACTGGTCGCAAGTATCGTAGCAGTAGGAGTCGATGTCGATTTTTTTTCAATTTTCGAGCAACTTCCAAGGGTCGGTGGCAAGGGTTGTCAGTGGAGGTGAGTGAGGCTTTGGCGTTCGTGAGCAGTTTCACCCAGGCTATGCTGCCTTTCGCAGCAGCGCCACGCAGCAATTGGCTCTTTTCCTCACACGTCATTCGCGGTGGTGTGCGGGTTTGTTGTAGAGTTCTAGCCACCTGCAAGGCACGGTGTTTGAAGGCTCGTTGCATCAAGTTGTGGCCTGTGTTGTCCCGTGTGTTTATGTCAGCTTTGTGTTTTAGCAGCAGGCGTACCAGTGATGTCGATCGCATGGATTCTGCAATGAGTATGGGAGTTGGTTCATGTGATGTTCTTGCGTGAACGTCCGCGGCGTTCTGCAATAGCAGTTTTGCAACGCGTGTATTTTGGCTGCGGCAAGCGGCTGTCAAGGGATTTTTGCCGTCGTCCGTGCCGTCGATGTCGGCTTGGGCCTGGATCAAAACTTGCACGACGTCTGTAGAATGAGAATTGCAGGCGGCTGCAAGGCTTAGTGGATTGCATGGAGACATGGGCATGTTGGGGTCGTGGTGTTCGTCGCAAATTAGCCTTCGAACCCAGGTCGGGTTGTTTGTTTCGATGGCTGCGGATAATGCTATCATTCCTCCGCTTCGGAATGACAGAACGATGACAAACAGAGTGACCTGGGTGTTCTTGACGGTGGTTCTGCATTTCGCCCACGTCCATGTGTAGTCCATCGTCTTGTTGTTGTGGCTGAACTGAAGTCGAATTCGGTTAGAGTTAACTTCGAGCATCGCTGCTATGTGGGGTTTCAGGTCTTGGAGCACGCTGTCGGCTTGCTGAAAATTTTTGCTGGCGGTGTCAATGGTGCAGATCTCGTTGCCATTGAGGCCGTGAATGCTGAGCATTGTTTTGTCGTGAGAAATTATGCTCGATTCTGTGAGTGTTTGTTGTTTGTTTGGGTACACGATGGTGGACTGTGTGGTCCTAAGTGATGAACTTTGTGTTCTTAGCGTTATACTACAAGTTGAGCTAGTAGCAATTTCTTCGGCTGTCCGAAATGTGTTCATTAATCTTGGTGACCTTCCTTGCAGACTTTCTGTTGCTGTATTCGTTGAGCCGATGTTGCATTGGGCGGAAATGTGCACGTGCTTTTTTTCTGGTGACTTGTTCAATGTTGACTTGCTTTAGTTGGCATGCGAGGCACAACGGGTTCAAGGAGCTTGGTGAGTAAGGCATCGGGCATGCATGCTTAATTTAGTTGATTCTGTTCGGGATTCAATTCTGGCAGAACTTGTAGCCGTGTGTTTTTTTGTCGTTGCGTCGATATAAGCCGTCTGATTGTTCTTTACCGGCGTCCTCTTCGTTGTCTTGGGTCCATATGCTATGGCTCTGAATTACAATGATGGTACGTCGATGCATGTTCGGAGAGGCAGCCGACTACTTTTGATGTGCTCGTCGCTTTGGACGTGCGTTGTCGTGGCACTGCTGACACAGGTGGTCGTCAGTGGTTGGGTGGGCGAAGTCTGTATACTCTCCCACGTTGCTCTGGATGTACTGTTTTTTATGCGTCTTCTCTGTTCTCTTGAGTTTGCATGCTGCTGCTTGGAGTGTGGTGAATGGTACTCTGATTGTTGTGCGGAGAGGCAGCCTGCTACTTTCGATGTGTTGTTCGTTTTGGATTAGCGGTTTTGCGGCACTGGGGGCACAGACGGTCGTTGGAGTTGTGAGTGGGTGGAGCCTGCATAGTGTCCCAGGTCGCTTTACATTTTTTGCAGGTGCGGTGTCCACGTGGTGGTACTTGACGGCCGTCGGTGCAGTTGATGCATATTTTGTTGTGAGTGGCGCCGTGCATGGCCTTGTTGAGATAGAATCTGTTGCAGGATCGGCACATGAACTTGTTACCTGTTGATTGCATTTCTTGCTCGAATTTGGTCTGGCACTCGAGACAGCTGATGGCTTGGGTTGGGAAGCTTCGCATGCAGTCGGAGAACTGGTCCAGGTCCATGGTTCTCGTGCAGCTTGCGCATGTTAGCGGCGCAGTGTTCGTTTCTATGCATCGCATGCACCTGCGTTCGTTGTCGGAGAGTTGTTCGTGCAACTGGGCTCTGTGGAAGGCATCTTCGGTTTTGTGAATTCCGCAATCTCGGCAGGTGTACTTCTGCTTCTTGCCATTGATCCGGCGAAACAAGGTATTTTTTCTTTTACCGTTCGTTTGGACGTTTTGACAGTTGAGACAATCGGCGGGTTTTGTGGCCTGGATGTTTTTCCATTGCAAGTCCGAGAAGGCTTCTAGGGTCTTGATTTCTTTGCATGTCGAACAGCAGGCGGTCGGCCACCTTGCTTCTTGGACGTCTTGTATGGTCAGTTCCTTGCGCAGCTTTTTGAGCAATAATTCGGGTCCATCTGGTGCGCCACGTTGAAAGAGCCATAGTGGAAAGGGGCGCAATATGAGAAGGTCTTCTCGACTGCAAACGCGACTGGCCGCCACTGTGCCGTATGACGTGTGTGTGAGACGATCTATGTTCAGGTCCAAGAGAACCGCGCTCCTTGGAAGGGTTGAGAGTGCATGTGCAGCTGTGCTAGTGCTGTCGGTGGGTTTGAATCGGAGATAGTGTGCTGTGGTTTGTTTGATTGCAGCTTAGTCGCAGTGTTTTTCCTTGGCTGCTGTGGGCCGTGATCGCGAAGGCTGGACTCAATGGCAGTTGCGTCCTTTTCACCCCCAAGACGGGACATTTCCTTCCTTTGTCGAGTTTCCAAGTTCTGGTCCATGGCATGATAGGATAGAGTCCCGGTTCTCGGCTGCCGTCTAAGGTCCAGTCTGCATCGTAGAATTTGACGTACCTGATCTCTGCTATTCTAGTCAGACGGATGTTAACTTGAAATAACAGTTGTACAGAAACGAATACGTGAATGATTCTAAAGATACAGTTTCACGTGCATGTGTATGTATATGTTTATGCTGTGTTGTTTCGTTTGGATATTCTTTTTGCGGATCGATGACACTACTCGTGGTTGTTGTTGATTTTCCGGCCATTCCCAGGAGTGAACATAGCCGAGGCGACCTTTCAGCAGGTACTTGTCGGAGCGGTCGATGTGCTGGGTGAGTTGCACTGGCAATCCGATTGCCAAAGGCAGCATGCCCAGGAGCCCTTCTGTGTCCATGTCGTGGTAGCGTAACCAGCGAATTTTGGCGGTTTTGTCGCACGCTTGGGTTTGCATGACTTCTGTGCCGGCTTTGTCTCGTGCGACGGACCAGCGGAGGGGAAGGCCCGTGGCTTGGGCGAAGCTGGCGGCTCGGTCTTTGTTGATTTGATACTTTGCGTCGTTGTTGGCAACGATGACTGTGCCGCACAGGAATTTGTCTTCGCTCAGTCGTGGGTCTTGTGGTGAGTCGATGACTCGTTTGCGGCTTCTTTTTTCGGCTTCGGTCAGGGTGCATCCATCGACGTGCTGGCCGTGCAAGTACTTCCAGTTGGTTTCAGACAGGCGGCCTGAACGCATCTCGGCGACGACCTGTCAGGAGAAGCAGGGATTGGGGGGGTGGGGGGGTAGGAGGTTCAGGGGGGTATGGGCGGGAATTCGAGAGGATGAGGCAATGTGTGGACGTTTTACTTGATGTGGTGAGTGTTTTGTTCTTTTGGATGCTTTGACCTGGTTGGGAGTCTTTTGTTTGTTTTTTTTTTTCGAAGTGCATTGTGCCTCGTTCCACCATTTGTCCTTGCAGCGCTCTTTTTGCACGAGTTCGGTTACGCCTTGCAATGCTCCGCACCAGACGAGCTCCCGGCCTGCTTGAATCAGTGGATCCGCCGCTACTTGTGCTTGGCTGCTTGCAGGTTTCAGGTAGGCTGGTATGTCCACGAGGCTGCCACCTTCTGGAGGCGGTAGTTGGTTGAAATCGCCGAGAAACACGACGTTGAGGCCGGCGAAGGGTCTCACTCGTCCCGTGACGTCGTGCTTCCAGCGGCTGGCGGCTGGGGTGGCGCTGCGAATGCGAGCTTCGATTTGTGTGAGGAGCGTGGCGCTGACCATGCCGATTTCGTCGATGATTAACCATCGCCAGAGGGCTATGCGCTTGGCGGTGTCTGGAGACATGCCCTTGTCGAGGCTGTGGCGCCCCATGGAGAGTCCGCAACTGGCGTGGAGCGTCTTTCCGCGGATGTCTGCGGCGTTGGTTGCCTGGAACGCGGCGGTCTCGAAGTCGATTCCCTGGACGTAGCCGAGGACATCTTGGAAAAGCGCACGCATGCATTTGAGAACGTGGGTTTTGCCGCTGCCCGGACCGCCGTGGAGAAGCCAGACGAGCGGCTCGTCCGCTTGCAGTCTGGTGTCGTTGCTTGGCGTCAGGTTGTATTCCACTAGAATCCTGTTTACGATCAGTTGCATGAAGCTTTTTTGTTGTTCGTTTAAAGTGGACTGAATTTTCTTGCTGTTTAGCCATGTGTGTAGTTTGTCTGCGGTGATTCTGTTCTGGTGGGTTACGACGGGTCGTTGGTAAGGGTGGTGGAGGCCTGTTTGTTGCTGCTGCTCGGTCGATGTTTGTAGTCTGCGCGAGTCTTTTGCTGCTTGGATCAGCTTGTCTGGGTCCGCTACGCCGGGTGAGGACTTCAGCAGCGAGTTCTGTGTCGCAGCCATTTTGGACAGCGGGTTGCTTTCTGGTGTGTGTGAAAGCCAGATCTTTTGGCTGAGATCAAACATGTTTTTTGTAAGCTGGCCTCGTTTCATTGTGGTCGTTGTTGCTGTTGCGTCTTCTGAAGGTTCCGGAGCCGTGGCTTCTGGGTCGTCGTTATCGTCTTCGGCTCCTCGAACCCTCGTGGTTTTGGCGAGTTGCAAGTCGTCGTCTTCGAAGTGATACATGATGTCTTCTAAGTTATCGTTGTCGCTGTTGCAGCAGAGGTCGTTGTTTATTTGCAGTTGGCGTGGTAGACAGAAGGTGAAAGCGTAGTTCAGGACGTAGCGCTTGACTTCCTCCGTGGCCCAGCCTGTGTGGGTCGCCCATCTCATGAGGGCCTCCTTCCAGGTTGTCGTGTCGGGACCTTTTAGCGTGCCTATGTACGGAGCTTCGTCGGTGGCGTCATTTTTGGTGCCGCTCCAGGGTCGGAAGAGAACCAGGAGGCGTTTCGCGTGCTCTTCGTCGTTTCGTCCGTACGTGGCTTTGAACACTACAGGAACATGTGGCCTTGGTCGGGGTACGATGATCCAGTCGTGTCGGAACGGTTCGTGCGTTGGATCATCCGTCATGGGACTCATGGGCATCCAGTCGTCATCTCCGCGTTCGTGTATTCGATAGTGCAAGCCGGGTTGGAGCTTCTGCCAGAAGGTTCCTGCATTAATTTGTTTCGAGCCGGCTTCGGTGAGGTAGGCGTGGTATTTCTTGGGTCGTGGTTGCGCTGCGTCACCTGGTTGTTGCTCGAGGTGGTGAGGCCGAGTTGCCATCTTCGTGCTGTAGTATCTGAGAAACTCGTAGGCGGACAAGGGGCTCACCTCAGGTCGCCGTCCTCGATGAGCGTAGATGGTCCAGAACGCGGGCTTGGGAATGGCTTGGCGGTTGCAGGTTTTTCTGGTGTCTTTACAAATCATTGCTTGTTCTTGTCTGGGTTGGTTGGTGGTCACGATTTCCTCGAGCAACTGGAGTCCGTGATGTAGGTTGATTTGTTGGCATGGGCTCGTTTTCACTGCCTCAGCTTTGGTGGGGTCCAGATGGCCGGCGTGCTGGACGAGGTTGGTGCATTCCACGGCTCCACGGACCACGCCTCGGGCATAGCAATCTGTGGCGAGTCTTTTGGCTGTGCGTGCCCCGACGTATCCGGTGTTGGGGTTGTGCTGCAGTTCCTTGGTCAGGTCGTGTTCTTGCGCGGCTTGGCTTTTGTTCCATTCGTGCACTTCGTTGATGGCGATGGGCAGGCGCTTGCACTGGTAGTCGCAGGCGTAGCCGGCCTGCGCGGACTGGTTGATCTGGGCTTGGCGCATGATTTCCCAGATGTTGTCTTCGCTTGTGCAGTTTTCATCGCAGCAGGCGGGATCGTGGAATTGTTGGGTGATGGGGAAGCGGTATGGGACCTGGACGTCGCTATTGCATCGTAGTGCTGCGAGCATGGCTGGATGGGTGCCGTTGAGGTTCGCGTCGTTGCAAGGCCCCCAGAGCAGGCCTAAGGCGCTGCGTTTGCCCTTGGTTGGCATGTCCATGTTTTCTGCTAGGCCCTTGCAGATGAGGAGGCTTTTGTCTGTTAGGCGCTTGTCTCGTGGGAAGCCGGCTTTGCATTTGGTGGGATCTTTGGGGTCTTTGCAGTGGCGTAGTGGCATGGGAGGTCCGTCGGGTGTGTTGGGAAGGTGGACGTGGTGTTGTTTTAGCTGTTGGAGTTTTTCGACGTCTTCGTTTAGGTAGAGCTGTCTCCAGGTCTCGGCAGGCAGCTTGCTGTCGCTTTGATAGTCGGGACGGCTGAGCGCGAGCGTTGAGCTGCGGAAAGCTGGCCAGGCTGCTTCGGTTTCGTGGCGATGTCGTTGCCATTCTTCTGGGTTGGAATACACGGTGCGGGAGACGTGTGAAACGTAGTTTTGGTACTGCTTCAGCATTTTCATCTGTTGCTCTGAACTCAGTTTCTGCAGATCGGCGATGGGTCTGAATTGGTGGAAGCTCTGCACGAAAACCTGTGCAAGTCCACGTGTGTGTGTGTGTGTGTGTGTGTGTGTGTCTGTGTGTGTCTGTGTGTGTCTGTGTGTGTCTGTGTGTGTCTGTGTGTGTCTGTGTGTGTCTGTGTGTGTCTGTGTGTGTCTCTGTGTGTGTGTGTGTGTATGTTTTTCTGTATGTGAATCTTTCTGTGTTTGTGTGTGCACCTGTGGGGTTGTGATGTGGATAGGTGGTTACATTGTGGGACTGTGAAAGATTTGGGCGTAGTGTATACATTTGTAGTATGTGATTTTTATATGTTTTTTTGTGTGGTGTCAGAGGGGGGGAGAGGGTGAACGTGCGAGTATGTGCTTGTGCCCGTGTGTACTTTGAGTTGGGTCATTGAACAGTTCCTTTCTTTGTGGTTCGGACCTGGAAGTGGATGTGCAGGCTTCCGCTTTTCTGACACTCGATCGAGCCATAGACGGAGTCTACGCGTCCGAAGATTCCTCCGCATGCCATGGCGTTGCTGCCGAAGGCGTCTGTGCAAGGATTGTTGGTCATTGCGCATTCGGGACAATTGGGACAGAATCTTACTCCGAATAGGTGCCGCATGGCCAGTTGCACGAGCACGCGGAAGCCTTCCGCGCATGCTAACGGGTCCTTGGCTAGCATGGCTCGGCGCTCGTCATAGGCGGGCAGTTGAGTCATCAGTTTTTCCGGATCGAGGCTGTAGTACTCCACGTTGAGATCCGGTTTGTTTTTGGACTGATATGACCTGGTGGCTTCTTCGGTGGTGGCGGGATCGCATTCTCTAGCTCTTGCCAGGCGCACCATGAGGACCTGCGTGGTGTTGCTGTTCTTGTTATGTTTTTTGGCGGCGGTGGTGGCGCGTGGTTATTCGCCGGTCTTCGTGGGATCATTTTTAGTGATCGGATATTCACTGTCGTTTTGCATGTGTTTGTGTGCTTAGAGAAGAAGGCTGGTCAGGGTTTTGTTCTGTTCGTTTTCAAACCAAGATGCGGAGTCTCTTTCGGAGGGGGAGAAGGTTACGAAGAGCGGCGTCCCGTAGCAAATTCGATTGGCGTGAGTTTCTTGTCTCATGATGCTTCTGACGTCGTGGGTGCCCGGAATGTTGCGGCAGCGTGCCGTGCAGTTGTCCAGCACCTGCACGTGTGGCTTTTGACGTGTGGGAAACGCATACTGGTTGTTCTTTTTGTCAGAGAGCAGAAGAGAGTCTAAAAATGATGTAAGAGAGAGAACAAAAGATGACCAACAAAAACAATAACATAAAAAACAACAAAGAGAAGGAGAGAAAGAAAGAGAGAAAACCAGAGATAGATGCCACTCGGATGTGTGCCAGGGATCGGGCCTTCTTTGCGGCTTCGGATAGGCCGATGCTGTACTTGACCTTGCTCAGATCGCCTTTGACGGGCTTGATCTGGTTGCTGATGTCCATGTACTTGCCGTGATGGAGCGCGTTCTGGATTTCGTTCAGTCCGTGAAGTATTTCGAGGTTGCTGAATTTCCGGTGGTCGCCCTGTTCGTCGATCGTTGCATACATGAAGGTGTTTTGTTGCAGGTTTACCATGGTTCGGAAGAGGAAGTTCCAGGTCGTGAAGCCGAATGTCCAGTCTCGTCTAAACTGTGTTTCGGCGCGACGTAGCATGGCTGCCGCCCAGGCGTGAATGTGGACGGGTGGTGCGTTGGGGTCTCGGCTGCGTCTGTTTGTGATGCCCCTCTCGTTGCGGTCATCTTCTGCTTTTTGTGTTCGGGTGTCTTGCACGTCGGGACAGGCTGTGGCGTAGCTGAAGCAGAAGCAGAAAGCGGTGGCGAAGTACATAGGTTCAAACTGGTCGATGAGCTGGTTGCCCGTTCTGACTTCGAAGGTGTCCATCTTTTTGTGCAGCTGTGGTGTCAGTTGGTCTCGGAGATTGTTTAAGGCCGCGACGGCGATTGAGTTTTGATTTTCTCGTTCCTCGCTGCGTCCTTCGGCCAAGATGCCTTGCGCGCGTTGGCTGGCAAATATTTCGCCGGCTTTCGATTCATCTTCGTGAGGGTGGTCCACGGGTGTTGCGGCTTTTTGTGGTTGTAGCTTTCCCCAGTCGTCGCTGTTTTGCATGACCTCGATTACTTTTAGGACTTCGGGTGGAATGCCGTCTTCTGGGAGCTCGCTGGCCGTTCTTTGTATGTTCTCTGCTCGTGTCTTCTGGAAGGCTGGATGGCCCGACTTCTTCATGTCGAGGATCAGCTGCACGACCACCTCTCGGCGCACAGTGGCCTGGTGAATGAGCGTCTTCAATTCGGAGGCAGTCGTTTTGCGCGTTTTGTTCGTTTTCAGAAGGACTCTTACGATTTCTCCCAGCTGCTTTCCTGTGCGTGGTAGTTGTGGTGGACTTTCTTCGGAGTTCAGTGCGTCCTTGAGGTTTGTGAGAAGTTCTTCCCAGGGCATCGGGAAAGTGAGTGCGTTTCCTCTTGCTCCCAGTCGATGGAGTGCTGCGTGGGCCTTGGCGTCGAGGGCTGCTGTGGTTCCTCTTTCTTCTTCTCCATATCGTGCTTCCATGGAGAAGCAGATTAGGGTGGTTACGCAGGGGCTGGCGCAGATCATTTCCATCACTGTCACGTTTTCTTTGTAGAGGCGTTCGGGGGCGAATCCCGTCCACATGTCATTGCACAGGCTCAGGGGCGGTAGCTGTCCCTTTCTTAGGTGTTGGGCGCAATCTTTGCACAGTGGCACTTCGCACTTTTCGCATAGCGTGTGAAGGCTGGGGTGCTCTGGATGGGCGGTGCATTGGTGATCTTCTGGGCAGCAGAGTACTGCGCCGTGACCAGGGATGTTCACTTGCCAGTTGTGAAAGTCTGTGAGAGAGCTTAGCTTGATGTCTCCAGCTAGGGTGTCGTAGGTGTCCAGGTATTTTTGTAGGCTGAGTATTTTGTAGAGATTGTTCGTTCTTGCCTCTGTTTCTTCTTTTGAATCCAGGGATTCGAGGATGGGGTACCAGTCGATGCTGTTGGCTTCGTTTATTTCGTCCACGCGCGTGTGGATGCACGCGCAGCTGAAGCAGATGAGGGCTTCGATTCGGTTCTCGGTCGTGGCATTCGTGAAGCTTTTGAGTGCCGAGCGGTCTCGGGAGCAGCCGGCCGGGGGGGCTTGCTTGCGGCAGACGGTGGCGACAGCTTCGTTATAGATGCTCCTGATGATATCTTTGGGCTTTGGCTTTGGCATGTGCTCCATTGCGGGCTTCAACTTCTCGTAGTGTGCTTCCTGTGCAGGGATCCCTTATGCGTGTGATCTAGCATATATATATATATATATATATGTTTCTCTTGACGCTTGTCTGTGTATGTGATTGTGTGTGTGTGTGTGTGTGATTGTGTGTGTGATTGTGCGTGTGATTGTGTGTGTGTGTGTGTGAGTGTGTGTGCGTGATTGTGTGTGTGCGTGATTGTGTGCGTGATTGTGTGTGTGATTGTGTGTGTGTGTGATTGTATGTGTGATTGTATGTGTGATCGTGTGTGTGATGGTGTGTGATTGTGTGTGTGATTGTGTGTGTGATTTTGTGTGTGTGTGTGTGTGATTGTGTGTGATTGTGTGTGTGTGTGTGATTGTGTGATTGTGTGGTTGTGTGATTGTGTGTGTGATTGTGTGTGTGATTGTGTGTGTGATTGTGTGTGTGATTGTGTGTGTGTGATTGTGTGTGTGATTGTGTATGTGTGTGTGTGTGTTGTTTTGATTACTGACAGCCTCGACGTGACGATGGAGATCTTCTTCGTTTCCATTGTTCTTCGTCCAATTGCATCCTTTGAACGCACAAAATACTCGTGGCCAGGTTTCTCCCTTGTCTATGTCCTCTCTTTTTTTTCCTGGCGGTATAAGTGGGTCGTCACGCAGCTCTTCTGAAGCCAGGTGATGGATCGCGTCTTCGAGGAGGCGTCGTGGGTGTATCGGGTTTGGTGCGATCTGGACTCTGCTGAGTTCTTGTAGGATGCTTGGTTGTGGTGTTACCTTGATTTCTGTCGACTCCTGTTCCGGGAGTGTGTGTTGCTGGTTGGTTTTGCAGCAGAACTTGGTCTTTGGTTTGGCTGCGGCCTTTGGTTTTTTGTCGAGTTCTGCTTGGTTGGTTTTGGTTCTCTTGTGGCGTGTCGGCTGTGTTGGCGTTGGTGGCGGCGGGGGTGGTGGTGTGTCAGTCGTGGTAGACGTATTGTCCGGTGCTGGTGTTGGTGGTGGCGGTGTTGTTGGTGGTGGTAGTGGTGGTGGTGGTGCTGCTGCTGTTGCTGTTAGTGATGGCGATTGTCTCTGTGGCTCGGGTGTTTCTAGATGGCTGTTGGATGGTCGGTCTGTGATCGATGTCGTTTGAAAATTGGCTGGCTGCTTGTGCTGCGGAGTGTGGGGTATCAGGAGGTCGTAATGATCTTTTCCGTTGTACCAAAGGTGGATGTCGTCTAGATTTTGAGTAGGAAGGTTTGGGAGCACGTCTTCGTGGGTTCTTTCCATTGAGTGTATGAGGCTGTCTTCGTCGGGCCAGTGAACCCATACACGCCGTTGTTCCATGAGAGTGAAGGCCACAATGGCCGTGTCGCCGCCCCAGTTGTACTGGCTTGCTCGAAGGTATTCTGATTCCTGTAGCCACGTGTCTTCATAGTGTTCTTGTTCGGGTGCTGCTTGCTCCAGGAAGTCGATGATTTTTTCTCGTAGGTTTGCTCCGGTGGTGTCGCTGGAGTATGCCAGTGCGTGGAAGAGGCAGTTGCCGTCGCCTTTCATTTTTAGGAGGCGCAGGTGGTCTTCGAAGTACTCCTGAGTCGCCAGTTGTTTGTTTTGATTGACTGCATTACAGACAGGACGGTGTGACATTGGGGACATTGGGGAGAGGAGGGGGGGGAGATCTACACAGGGGGTCCGGTGGAGCTGCTTGCCTTTATGAGATCGTCCACGTTGATCTCTTTCGTGGACGTGATGTCCGTGGCTCCGCCTCCTCTGTGTCTCGGATATTCTTCCTGGTCGGAACAATGTTGTGCATGTTATCGCTCTGCCAAGACGTCCTGCGTGCTTTTTGCATACTAACGGGCTAATTACTGAAATTGTTTTGGTCTTCTGCCGGGCGGCGCTGCTTTTTTTCATCTGGAGTGGGGTATTCTGGCACTTGTTGGGCGTCTTCCCCGTGGCGATTCTCAGGAGGCCGTTTTTCCCGAGGCGATAGTAGACATCCATTAGTCGGTGGTATCTGAATGATAGTATCTGTCCTGTGTCCTTGTGGAACCGAAATTTCTGATGGTGGATGCGTCTTTCGTTCATCGTGAGCTGGTCCATTTGCACGCGTGCCAAGCTCCGTGGTGTGATGGTGAGAACTTCGACGTTTCGTGCTCGTGCTAGTTCTTTTCCGAAGTTGGTGTGCTTCTTCTGGAACCATGTGTCCTGTCAGGCTGTTAGCAGGACGAGCTGCAAGGGAGGGGGGGGGGGGGTGCGTGGTAGAGGAGTAGAGGGGCGAAAAATGGTGTCTGAGAGTTTACCGACTTCGGCCTGTCCGTTCTGTCCATTTGGCCCAGCAGGACCCATCGCTGTCCGATTTCGATGGTCCCAGAGGTGGCTGCTGTCAACTTTCAAGGTTTGCCTTATGCCTGATGAGTCCACAGATGACGTGATCCCGTGTTGATTTTCGGAGTAGCGTGAAGGTCTGCTGATTGGATTGGACATCGTTTGTCGGCTGTTCTGCTGATCTGATGCGTGACGTGCTTTGGCATGGGTTCGGTTCGGGGTTATGTGAACTATCAAGAGATCATGTTAGAGTGAGACTCGATTCAGTGGCATGGCTGTGGGCGCTGATTCAGATCCATCTGACTTTTTGCTTCTCGTTATGCAGCAACGTGAAGTGTCACGCGACTACTGGGAATCAGTTGATTGGTGCAGTGCCTCTTTTTTTCCGTTTGCTTTTCGTGGTCTGTGCTGGTCCCTTTCGAAAAGCACGGTGTTGGTGTTGTTGAATGGTGTATTTTATTGTCTGCATGCCGGTGCTCTGCAGTGGGGTGGATATTTCACTTTCATTATATATGCGGTGTTACTTCTGTGGAGCTACCCCGTTCAGTCGAAGAGGTTCGAGTCCGTCTGCTGCCTTAAGTTACAGCGAGTGAAGCGGTCGCAGCGTGTGACGTAGTCGAGGACGTAGAAGTGGAACTGCATGCACTTTCGCCCGCCTTGCTTCAAGAGATCGACGCTTGCTTGCTGCTGTATATTGGACGCCAGCGCCCGTGGGCGCTGTGTTGAAGTCCACAGAGTCTTGAAGGAGGGGTAGTGGAACCATTTGTGAACTTTTTTGGCCGTCCATCCCATGCTGGTCATCAGGTCTCCGAAGGGTTCGGTGTACATGTGTTTCCGCTTCTTGCTCATGATCTGTAGCCAGGTCTGTATGTGTTTCTGTGATGGGCACCAAAATCCCCTGGCAACAGCTGATGCCTTGTTCGTCTTTCTTTGTATGACGTTGATTGGATCTTCTGTTTTGGCGAGCCATGGTTCTTGGACGACTGGTTGTTGTCGACGGGCGCGAGGTTCGGAAGGAGTCCTGCTGTTCCTGCTTCTTCTTCTTCTTCTTCTTCGTTTATCGAAATGACTTCCCGCGTGTTGGAAATCATCTTTTTGGGACCGTGAGACGTGGGGCTCCTGACAGTGTGTGTTTTTCTCCATAGCAGAGGTTGAGGCCATGTCGTCGAAAGGGGGGGTCAGCTAGCTATTCCTTGCTATTGCTCGTCTCGCTTGATCCGGCTTCGAGAGAGGCTTGGGCATAAACTCATTTTTCATGGAATGGGTATGGTGGAGCACATAGTCGTGTTGGCAACGCATCTCCTTTTTTTGCCTAGCGCCACGTTTCGGTCCTGTTCTTTTTTGCGTGGCGTGAGACAAAGAGAAAGAGAGAAAGAGAGAAAGAGAGAAAGAGAGAAAGAGAGAAAGAGAGAAAGAGAGAAAGAGAGAAAGAGAGAAAGAGAGAAAGAGAGAAAGAGAGAAAGAGAGAAAGAGAGAAAGAGAGAAAGAGAGAAAGAGAGAAAGAGAGAAAGAGAGAAAGAGAGAAAGAGAGAAAGAGAGAAAGAGAGAAAGAGAGAAAGAGAGAAAGAGAGAAAGAGAGAAAGAGAGAAAGAGAGAAAGAGAGAAAGAGAGAAAGAGAGAAAGAGAGAAAGAGAGAAAGAGAGAAAGAGAGAAAGAGAGAAAGAGAGAAAGAGAGAAAGAGAGAAAGAGAGAAAGAGAGAAAGAGAGAGAAGAGAGAAAGAGAGAAAGAGAGAAAGAGAGAAAGAGAGAAAGAGAGAAAGAGAGAGAAAGAGAGAAAGAGAGAAAGAGAGAAAGAGAGAAAGAGAGAAAGAGAGAAAGAGAGAAAGAGAGAAAGAGAGAAAGAGAGAAAGAGAGAAAGAGAGAGAGAGAGAGAGAGAGAGAGAGAGAGAGAGAGAGAGAGAGAGAGAGAGAGAGAGAGAGAGAGAGAGAGAGAGAGAAAGAGAGGGAGAGAGGCAGAGAGAGAGAGAGAGAGACATTGATAGACAGAGAGAGACAGAGAGAGGGAGAGAGCGAGATAGCGAGAGAGAGAGAGAGAGTCAGAGGGAGAGAGAGAGAGAGAGAGAGAGAGAGAGAGAGAGAAAGGTGGGAGGGTGAGAAAGAACGTTAGTGACAGAGCTTTACGCTTGGTGGGTCGCACTTTGGCGTGAGCTTAGTAGTCGATCTTCGTGCGCTGGCTGCTGATGTCGGGTGTCTTTTACTGTTTCACGGGCCACGGTTCCGTGTCGCTGTTTCTGATGCTCGGCTTGGTCTCCCAGCCGAGGTGGTGTCTCATGGCTTGAAGCACGTCGAATTGATTCCACCAGAATGCTGTGGTGATGGGCGTCTCCCCGTCCACATTTCTGGTTTCGGGGTCTGCTTCGTGTGTCAGTAGGTCCAGGACCGGGGAAACCTCGCTTTGTTCGCAAGCCAGGTGTAGGGGAGTGGTGCCTGAGAAATCGGTCGTGTTTACCTGGGCTCGCGCTTTCAGGAGAGAGTGCATCATTTGCCATTCTCCTTTGCATGTCGCCAGCCACAGGCTTGTGAAGGCGCAGCCGTCCTCGCTTGAGATATTGGGATTCGCTTTGGCCTTCAACAAAAGGTCTGTGATCTCTCGGAACCCGCAGTCGACGGCTGCAAGCAGAGCCGTGTCGTTCCCTGGTTTCTGAAGGTCAGCTTGTGCTTCTAACAAAAGTCTGACCTTTGGTAGGTGTCCTTCAAGGACTGCTGTTTCTAGTGCGCCGAAAGGGTTGCAGCAGTTGCTGTTGCAGTTGCAATACTGCTCGTGGCGTTCGAGTGTTGAGTCTGGATGTAGGGGTCGTTCGAGGATGGATTCGAGTTGAGCTGTCGTTCCGCTTCTGACGGTGTTCATGAGCTCGTTGACTGCAGTTGTCGAAGCCTCGATGTAGTTCAAGATCACAATCTTCAATTCCGAGTGGTGGAGTATCGTCTCCTCGTCTTTGAGACAGTTATCCTCGTTGAGTAATCTAACTCGAAAGCGAGGGATGTTGTGGGTGTTCTTCAGCTTGAGTTTGATGTCCCGAATCGTCTTCTCTTGGTCAGACACCACGATTTCTGTGAAGGGTGTGTCTGTGATGGCCGTTCGGATTCGAAGAGCGTGCTGCCTGGTCTGCATGGCTGTTGTGGGGCGTGTGAGGCGGAGTCTGCTCGAGGCGGTTCGTGGGCTGAGGCTGACGGTGACGGCTGCGGGCATGGATGCCTGTGAGTTGTTGGAGAGGGGAGGGAGGGGGGCCGGGGGAGGGGGTGGGAGGAGGGATGCGACATCGTGTTGCTTTGCTTCGTTGCTTGACGGATCAGGTGTGTGGATTGTTGTCGCATCGCTTTTGTAGTGTGCCGATGCAGTTGCTGTCCTTGCAGGGATCGAGTACTGACTCGGGATGCTGGGATCTTTGAAGGTTGCATTCCGCCTGTTAAACGGTGCTGTTGATTCTGGTGTGAAAGAGGTCCCATGCATGGCTGTTCGACTCGGCAAGGCGGTTGAGAATCACTAGTTTCATGTTGGCGTGCTCGGATATTTTGGTTTTTCCCTTTTAGGAGGCCCCGTTTGCTTAGGAATCGTTGTTGGAAGCGATGGATTTGGTGTGTGTTTTGTGGTTTTAGCTTGATGTCTCGCATTGTGCGTTCTTGTTTAGACAGATCGTTGTCACGAGTGTGCTCGTTGTTGGTATTCGGATCTGAGGCGCTGATCTCCATGGTTGTAGATCTCGACTATAGAGCGGTTGAACTATTGCACTATATGTTCTTCGTGGCATGGTATGATCTTGTGGCGTTTGTGGTTCGTGGCTGCGAGCTAGTTGCACATTGTGAGAGTGTCGAGCGTGAGCGTGATCAGCGTTGTTGATTGGGGATCAGTTAGCCGGGTTGTGGTTGTTTGGGCTCTCTTTATCGTTCCTGTTTATCTGCTCGTTTTATGTGTATAAATATATATATATATATATATTTTTTTGATATATTTGTGTTTTTGTTGAATGGGTACATCTAAGATATGTATATATATATATATTATGCATACATATTTATGTGTTTTCTTATTTTTAACAAACAAAAAATCTCTGTGTGAGTGCTTTTCCTTTTTTCTCATTCGGCTGCAGTCGCAAGCTGTCTGTACTTATCAGTTTGTGCCCTGGCAGTCTAACTCTCGCAGAAGCCTGGCGCTTGGTCTGGTCTGCGTGTTGCTTGTGCTGGGTGCCCTGCGCTGGGCTATGGATCTGTGTCGCTGTTTCTGATGTTCGGCTTGGTTTTCCAGCCGAAATGGTGTCGCATGGCTTTCAGCACGTCGAACTGATTCCACCAGAACGCCGTAACGATGGGCGTTTCCCCGTCTAGGTTTCTGGCTTCGGGGTCTGCTCTGTGTTTGAGCAGCTCCAGGACTGGCGGGATGTCGCTCTGCTCGCAAGCCAGGTGTAGGGGAGTGGTTCCCCTGAAGTCGGCTGCGTTTACATAGGCTCGTGCTTTAAGGAGTGAGCGCATGATGTGCCAATCTCCCTTGCACGCTGCTAGCCACAGGCTCGTGACGCCGGAACCATCCCCCGATGGAATATTGGGATTCGCCCTGGTCTTCAACAAAAGATGAGTAATGTCTCGGAATCCGCAGTCGACGGCTGCAAGCAATGCCATGTTGTTCCCTGGTTTCTGAAGGTCAGCCTGTGCTTCTAGCAAGAGTCTGACCTTTGGTAGGTGTCGTTGAAGGACTGCCGCTTCCAGTGCTCCGATTGTTGTCGTGCCGCAGCTGCGGCATTGATGGAGGTGCTCAATGATGGAATCTGGATGCTGGGGTCGTTGGAGGATGCATTCGAGTTCTGTGGACGTTCCGCTTATGACGGTGTCCATGAGCTCGTTCACCGTGCTCTGTGTGGCATCAATGTAACTCAAGAGCACCACTTTCAGGTCCGTGTCATGGGGTATGGTGTCTTCGTCTTTCAGACATTGGTCTTTTTCGATTAGTCTGAGTCGAAAGCGAGGGATGTTGTGGGTGTCCTGGAGCTTGCGCTTGACGTCACGAATCGATTTGTCCTGGTCGGATAGCATGATTTTTGCGAAGGGTGCATTCGTCGTGGCCATCTGGATTTGAAGTGGCCGCCTGGGCTCCATGGCTGCTGCGGCGTGTATGCGGGTGAGCTCGTTTGACTCTGCGGTGTCGTTTGTGCTCGACGGCTGCGGGCCTGGAGACTCGTGAGGTGTGTGAATTGAAGGCGGAGGTGGGAGGGGGGGGGGGGGGAGTTTATGTGCTTGAACATGGCTTCAGCATGTAAGAAGCACTATACAGGTGAGTCGATCAAGGTTATCCGTGCACGAGTCTTTTCTTTCTCTTCGCGGATGTCTTGTCGTGGAGTCATTTTGGAATTAACAGGGCATCCGTTCTCTTCGATGTCGCTGTTCGGGTTTCGGCATCGAATCGGAGCTTGTCTTGTGTGAAAATCTTTCCATGAGTGCTTTTTTGGTTCTTGGAACAAAGTGATTTTCTTTTTCTGTTCTGGCCATCGGGCTGTTGGACTTTCTACAAACCGTGTTCCTCGTATTGTTCTCGGGGTGCGTGTTCGGCGTGGCTGTTTCCACATTGACAGAATTGGATGCTCAGGGGTGGCGTCGTGTTTGGAATGGTATGTGGCATGATCCATGTCCAAGTGAGGCTGCGCAGCGCTCTGCCGGCGAGGGTGATTTCTAGCTCTCGGGCGTCGCTGATGTACACGGCTCGGTATAGCATGTCTGCCGTCAAGTCGGGAAACGTGTTTCTGCTGTTCGGCACGAGCTGGTTGTCGAACATGTGGGCTAAGGTCCTGTGTGTCGTTAGAAGTTTTCTGGTCGTGGTGAAGCTCCATTTGTTGGCTGTCAGTATGGTCGCCGGCCAGTCACGTTTGCAAGAGGGGCACCCGACAACGTCCTTCTCCTGGTTCTCCATGATGTTGTAAAGCAGAAGCTCTTCGCAGATGCCTCTCTCTCTCTGTGCTTCTTCTTCGTTTTGGCTATGTGGTACCAGGAGGACGTGATTCACTCCTGCAAAGTCCAATACCTTTCTCCAGAGCTGCTCGGGTAAAGCGAGTGCTTTGTTAGGCGTTGTGTGCCGTGATGAGAGTGCTTTCGTAGTTACTTGGCTTCGTTTTGGAGGTCGCGGCTCGAGGTGCTGAAAGTCCGAGCGAGGAGGCGTTTTTTTGTTCTGCCGTTGCATCGGGCTGTTGGCATGGAGACTGACTGTTATTTCGGGTTCTCGAGCCGGTGCGGGCTGTGCAGTTTCGTGGTGTTGTGGGAGGTGGCATCAAAGGTGATGTTGTTCGGTGTGTTTAGGTGGGGTTCGAGGCTTGGGCATTTATGCATCAAGTCATGCGTGTAGATTTAGGATGCAGAGCATTCTTCGCATTTTTTCACAAGAGCGCGGCCGTCGAGTCGACATTCTGTCTTGTCATAGGTCAGAGGTCATAGGTTATAGGTCATAGGAGCGCAATGGAGTTCCCGCTGTTCTGTTCGGGTACTTCTTGTCGCTGTGCTTGTTTTTTCAGTGTCGGATCAGAGTGCATCGTCATAGTATGACCTCCATCGGTCTGGCGTCCCCCTTCGCTTCGCCTTATCGTTGCGAGACGAAATGAGTCAGTGGGATGGATGGATGGGTGACTATGTCTATGTCCGGGGCTACTGGTGCCGAGTTGCGTGCGCGAATGATGCCCTCGAAGCCCCTGTGGTGAAAGATGATGGTCAGGGACGCCGGCTCGAGGATGCTCACTACATCTTGTTGTTCTGGGTCCAAGCTGATCCTGTACACACGTTGCTTGAAGAAGAACTTGGCGTGGGCGCTGCGCAAAAAGTCGCTTACAAGCGCGCCGGCTGGTCTTCGGATGCTGGGCCAAGCGTTTAGGATCAGGATGGCTTGTGCGGGAGTGAAGTTTCCGTAGCCTGCGTCTTCGAGCCATTCTTTCATTTCGTGTTCTTTTCCGAAGTCGTCTGATTCGGGGTGAGTTTCCGGATGCTGCCAAAAGTCGTCGTTGGCTTTGGAGGCTGTAATGCGAATTGCGTAGCCCCGCAGCAGGCCGGGCAGGAGCACCCTGCATTCTACGAGTGGTCGCATTGCCCAGCGCAATTGGTAGATGATCTCTCGTTTCTGCGCGTAGAGTTTTCGGCTCGCAGTGATGGATAGCCTGTCCGATCGTAGGAGTGCTAGGATGTCGACGGAGTTCAGGTACGAGCTTATTAGAGGTGCTATCACGTGGGTCAGGTCTTTCCAGTGCAGTGATTGTGGTTCGCGATTTCCAGCGCTTGTGAGGCAGCTGCTTGTCGTGGTTGTTTCATGGCGTGGCTTTTTTGTGTGCATTTCGTCTACGCCTGTCGTCTGCCTGTAATTTATGGACACTTTGAGATGTCGTAGATGGCTGCGGATTTGGTGCATGATGCTTTGGCTGGATCTGATTATACTTTTGGATGCATCCTAGTGAGTGTCCTGCTGGTGCTTCGCTGAACTTCGGCACGTGTGCGAGCTGCAAGACGTTTGCTTTTTGGTGGATTGTGTTTATCTGTTTTTCTTTTCTTCGCTGTGTCCTGTACATTGGCGTGGTTGGGTCTGTGTTTGTCTGTCGATGGAGCTGTTGTGTCGCAGTCTCGGTGTCCACTGGCATCGCATTCATCAGAGAGCGGTGCATTTCTCTCTGTAAGCTAGTAGAAGGCTGGTAGGAGGAGCAGGCAATGGTGTTTCGTGTTGCACAGGCAGCAGAGTGGAGCTTGGCACGCATCGCACTGTCGCCTGTGCAAGAAGCAGATCAAGCGTTTGCATGAGCGACATGTGGCGCGTGCGCTGTGTGCGGCCCGAACGTCGCAGATGTCGCAACGGAGCATGGTTTCTGGCGTCGGGTCGTTGTGGAGCACGAGTTGTATGTCGATGAGATCGTCCGCGTTGATTGCTTTGCAGCGTTGTCTTCCGAAGAGCTCCTGGTTGTTGTAGCACAGTTTGACTTGCATCGGGGCCACTCCGATCTGAAATGCTGTCACTTTGCGTATTGCATGGACGGGCCACTCCGGCTGCACGTGCATGGTGAAGGAGATGAGATCGCACCATCTCAGGCGAATTGGAAAGCCCCCGGGCTGAGTGGGCATTATGTGCAGCATCGCGTCTCTTGGCAGATTGTATTCCGAGAGCACTCGATCGTGACGCAGTATCGGCATGCCGGCCCAGCACAGCCACGCCTTTTCTTTTCTTATCTCCGCTGTTAGGTTGAGCAGGGCGAGCAGCTGTTCTACCGTGGTTTTCCTGGGCAAGCTGGGAATGTGGCAGAGTAATTTGTTGTGTGTGCATATGCACACGGACGTGTGTTCTGGTTGATGGGCTGGTGGTGGGCAAAAGTCCGGCAGCTCGTTGATGGAGACTCGGCAGCGCCGGAGTTGGTGCAGAGTGGCTATGATGTCGTCTTCCGGGTCCCAGAAGTTGAAACAGGTGTAGTTTTCCGGGCTGTATGGTCGAGCGGTGCGCAGCATCCATGGCAGCATGTTGCTCGATGTTCGGCTACTCTTCGACAGTGGTGTCGAGATGCTTGAGGCGAGTCTTGTGCCGAGTGCTGCGGAATTTTCGCGTTTTTCGTTAGTGTGCCTGCTTCGAGGCTAAGTCTTATGGATTTGGCATGTGCTTCTACCACTGTGGCTCTTATCTTGTGTGGCCTGTGAGGCCATGGGCTCTTTTTGTTTGCTGCTCATTCATGTCGTGTTGTAAATTGTGCTGTTCACTTGCGCAAGTTGTGAGACTCCGTTTCGGCTGTCGGCTTTTGTGTGCCTGCATCAGGAACTTCGACGTCCTTGTTGGAGATGCAGGTGGCGAACAAGGCGTGGGTTTCTTCTTTGAGCACGGGCACGCAATCCACGAAGGGCTCGGGGTCGTTGTCGGGGTTGGTGCCCACTACGTACATGTCGGACACGACTTCTCCGTAGTATTGCTGCAGAATGTGACGGTATATGTTGAGCTGTAGGCGATAATGCCAGAGAGCGCAGTCTGGTAGGTTGTGCACTGGAGGTTGCATGAATCTGCCGAAGGCATCGTGTCGGTGCTGCATGCGACTGGTGCGTTTCCAGTCGACCAAAACTTTTGTGCTGTCGGGACGGATGCCCACGAAGTCGATGCTGCCGGCGATGTCTTCCTTGTCTGCGTAGATTCGCCATTCTGTGCGGTAGACTCTGAGATCTTCTTGCGAGCGCAGGAACCGTGCCAGTAGTTGTACTTCTGGTGTCAGTGTGGGTACGCAGCCGCCGTTGAGCAGGCATTCGAACTGGGCATGCATCCAGGTGCCTTCTCTTGCTCCTGTTTCTTTCGCTTCTTCCCATTTCTCTAGTATTTCTGTTTCGGACATGCACAGGCTGTCGAACAGATGCGTTAAGTGCTGGTGATCTTCTTCGTCCTCTGCTGCCATGTCTCGTGCTTCGCTGAGGAGTAGGCAAAGTGCTTCTTCGTCGCGAGGTCGTTGCTTCAGTGCGTTCCGGAGAGGCATCCAGGTGGGTAGGTTTGGCAGGCTCGACCATGTTTGGTCCGGGACCTCGGATCTCAAGTAGCCTGGTCGGGGCCACCACGAACTGTTTTTCATCGCTTTGATGATCTTGAAGGGTTCGAAGGGTGGCACGTGTCGTTCGATGAGCTGGGTTGCTGACGTGCTGACTTGCTTTCCTTTCCAGCGGTAGCTGTGTGTTTCTTCCTCGAATGATAGATGGGCGTCGCGTGGGTGTGGATTGGCTTTGCACAGTTGCTCGGGCTGGAAGTTCTCGGGTAGCGTGCGTGGGAGCTTTGCGGGACGAGTCGGAAAGCAGGGTGCGTTGGGATGCTCTTGTTTTGAATCGGGGTCAAGGAAGCGTTGCAGTCCGAGTGATTTCAAGGAAACGGCGACGTGTTCCATTGCTCTGCCGTTTTTGTCTAGTGCTTTGGACCTATGTGGACTCTGACCTGAGAGCCAAGATGAGCTGCGGCGGGTATCGAGTTGTGGTTTGTGCAGGGATTTGGGAAGGTGACTTCAGCTGTCCTGTTTGTTATGGGCATGTCGACCTGTTGTGTGTGTGTGTGTGTGTGTGTGTGTGTGTGTGAGTGTCTGTCTGTTTAGACTGGGTCGATCTGTGCTGAAGTCTGTACATGAGCGACGCAAGCAACTGTCGCGTTGACGAAATCGCGTCGTCCCTTTTTTTTTGCACTTGCATCGGCCGGCTGTGTGAGTGTCGGACATGCCTGTTCATTGCAAGACCGAGCACGGGCTGTGCTGCGTGTGCTGCAGCGGGTTTCTTCGTCTGGCAAGATGTTTCGCCGTTAGCCGTATTGTTCTGGCTGGGTAGCGGGCATTTCTTCTCCGCTATGTGATTCTGCATAGATTGTGGGCTGACTTCGGAGCCACTGTGCGAAGGGGTTTTCTGGTGTCCCGGTTGCATCGATGAGGTATACCGGTGTTTCCATCAGGATCTGTTGCAGGAGTTGTTGGATGTGTTTTTTGTCCTTCTCCGAGTCGGTGACGCGCATGTTGCGGACATATTCTTGCTTTCCTGCGTGCATCTGCACGAATTGACCATCGAGTCCTATCTGGTCCAAGTCGTATCGGTATGGGTACATGTTGCCCCAGAGGCTCAGGATGTAGGTTTCGTCATCTGGTAGGTCTTGTTCTGTCGAAAGTTGCATGAGTACGTGTCGACTGTAGCGAGGTGGCTTGGCCTTGAATGGTTGGAAATCATGAAGCGGTATCTGGCGGTACGTCCATCCGTCCGGCATATCTCCGAACGGCCATGTGTTCGTGTGGTGGCATAGCATGCATGGGGGTATCTCGTAGAACTCTCCCTTGTCTTTTTTGAAGTTGGCGAGGTATTTGATGAACTTCAGGCCGGTTTCCGGTGTCTTGCCGGCGCAGTAGATGGTGGCCAGCCACGGTTCGAGTCCTACACCGTCGGGATCGGAGTCCCCTGTCATTGACGGTGCACCGTTCAGGATTCGGATGCCCTTTTCTCGTTCCAGGGTCGCCATGTCGGTGATGCCTTCGTAGGGCGTCTCTTGGAGGGCATTGCGGGCGGTGGCAAGGAATCGGTTGCTCATGTTGCGAGGTCCGGCTTGACGGATTTGCAGCTGCCACAGCGAGGTCGTGGGCTCCATGTCCTCGAAGACGTGTTTTGTGTTGCCCCAGGGGCAGACGGTGACGTCCAGGTCGGTGTGTACTCGTTTGCGTGCCACTTTTTCCAAAGAGCTTGGGTCGAAGCGCCTTTTCTGATGCATGGCTCAGGGGTCTGGGTGTCTGAATAGTAGACGAGGGAGCTGGTGGCTACTGCTTGCTGATGATTTGAGTCTAGCTGCAGTGATGGAACGTGCTTCGATGGTGGTCGGGCTGGCGGGATGACTCGTGGCGGTCTGTGTGTTTTATGTAGCTGAGGTGTCGTGCAGAGCAGGACACACTTTTTTCCATGTCTAGCATCCCTGAACGTGTGCTCGAGGCGCCTGTTCGGCGTCAAGGTCCTGTACATCGCTAGACATGCGCTATGCGTCACGAGCGTTTTGATGAGTGTGCTAATATGGTGGTGGTTCAGATTGACTTTGACTTGCTGGAGGCTCGTTTATGGGTCGTTGGGCGTTGGATCCAGTCCTCGTTTCTTTTGGCGATCCTTTCAGGTATATTGTGGGCTGGTCTTGAAGCCATTGCACGAGGGTATCGTCTGTCGTGTTGGTCTGGTCCATGAGATATATTGGTGTCTCTGATACTGCCTGCTGTAGCAGGTGGCGAATCATTTCTTTGTCTGGCTCTGTGTTCGTGATGCGCATGCTTTGGACAAAGTCATTTCTTCCGTTGTCTAGTTGCATGAACTGGCTTTTCATGCCCATCTCCTTCAGGTTCTTTCGATGCGAGTAAACGTCACCTCGAAGCGTTAACACGTAGGTAGCTCCGGAGGCTTGTGGCTCTTTCTGTAGATGCATTAGCAGGTGTCGTCGGCCGTGGGGTGGCTTGGAACTAAAGGGCTTGATGTGGTGATGGGGTATCTGTTTGTATGTCCATCCTTTCGGCATCTCGTCGTATGGCCACGCTTCTTCTTGTTGCGTCAATATGCAAGCAGGCATTTCGCGTAACTCGCCCATGTCTTTCTTGAAGTTTGTGAGGAATTTGAGGAAGTCTAGGCCGGCTTCCGGCGAGTGGCCAGCGCAATAGATGGTTGCCAACCAAGCTTGTACTCCGACGCCGTCTGGATCCACGCCGCTTGCTCTTGGCATGTTGTCCTGGAGCCGAATGCCCTTTTCTCGTTCCAGGGTCATCAAGTCGGAAATGCCGTCATATGGCGTGTTTTGGAGGGCAGCTTGGGCAGTGGCCAGGAATCGGTTTTTCATGTTTTGATGTCCGTCATGACGGTGATGGATCTGTAGCTGCCATACGGGAAGCGGTGACGTGGATCTCACGTTGTCGAAGATGTGCTTCGATTGCCCCCATGGACAGACTGTGACCTCTAGGTTGCCTTCGTTGACCTTTTTCGTGTTCGACTCCAGGTAGATCCAGCTGAAATGCTTGTTGCAAGCCATGGATGCCGCGTCGCGGGGGCTTGGTTTTGTTCGTGCGCCACTGCAATCTATTGTGCTGTGTGTTGTGTGTTTGCATGTTTGCATGCATTTTTTTGTTGCGTGTGTGTGTGTGTGTGTGTGTGTGTGTGTAGCATGTACATTTTTATGTATATTACATATATAGATATATATGTGTGTGTGTATATATATATACATAGGTTTGTGTCTGTCTATCTGTCCATTTATGTATCTATTTATGTGTCTATTGTTAAAATTGGTTTATGTGCACGTAGGTATGTATGTGTGTATATGTTCGTATGTGTGTATGTTTGTATGCGTGTATGTGTATTTGTGTATACATATACATACATGTATATATATATGTACATATATATATATATGTGTGTGTGTGTGTATGTGATCCGTGGCTGTTGTTGCGTGCATGTGATGCATTCTAGTGGTGGCTTTTGACTTTAAGTTCGTGCTGGGATCACTGGATGGCAATGAATTGCAGGCGAACAGAAATGATTGAAATAATGCAGGCAAGCGCAATCATTTGCGTGACCTTTCTCGCAGCAATATCGTGCTCGCACAGTTGAGGAGGTTTAGGCTACGCGCCCTGGATTCTCACTCGATCTTGTCGGTTGAGCCGTCGATCTTGTTCTTTTTGGACTTCTTGTCGTCGTGCTCGAGGCCTTCTCGTCGTCTCTTGCTGATGCGTTGACGAACGCTGGGGGTTAGCTTTGGCCAAAGTGGACCTTGCACCGGTTCATATTGTATGGAAGGTATGTACTTGATCGGATTTTCCATGATCCAAGCGTACACGGTCTTGTATTTCATCCTGGATGGTTTGCGAACTTGGTGGTGTTGGATATTCTCGGGCAGCAGGAAAAAACGTTCTTTGTCTAGCAGACGCTCGCTGTAGGGTTGCCAGGTGTCGTCCACCTTTTTTCCTACGGGGAATGCGTCGACGAAGTCAACCTCTCCGACGAGCGTTCCGGTGCGACTTGCTGCTATGGCGACACGGCCTCTTTTTTTGAGGTTACGTCCTCGGAGTTCCCATGTCTTTTGCCCCTGGAAGATCAGCTCTGTCCACGGGCTTTGGATTACCAGTGCCTGTTGGGGCACCTGGATTTGGCCTTGGCCTTCGGCGTCCGGGTGGCTGATAGACATTGCGTCGGGTGTCAGCGGCTGGATGGCTGGCAACTGTTTCGTCCTGTCGATTTCCGAAGTGGAGTTTCGGTGCTGCGCAGGTACGTGTGGTGCTTGATTGTGCGTTCGCTTCTGTTTTGATAGTTGGTGGGTTGTCCAGGCTGCGTTTGGCGATTGCTCTGTAGCGAAGCAGCTGTCGAACCAAAGTGCTGCGGGACAACGGGCAGAGATGTTGCGAGCTCATGCGTCCATGTTGTATGACTGCAACTATCTATGGTAAAGCATTCGATCTCATCTTTTTGTGCGTTTGCTTGATGCTGATTCGCACTTTCTTTGGGTCTCCATGGCACCTGTTGCTTGTTCGGATCGCTGTGCTTGATCCTGTTCAGTGTTTCAGACAGTGTTGTGGCTCTCGGCGAACCCATCAGACTTCACAGGCCGTGCTCGCATAGATGCACAGACTCCTGCTCGGAGAGCCATGTGACTAGTGGATCTTCTGGGTGACCTGTGGCATCTATGAAGTATACGGGAACCATCAGCAGCACTTCAGAGAGTACTCGCTTTATGAACTCTCGCATGTCCTCGGAGTCCTGGAAGTTGAGGTGGCGCGTGTATTCCTTTCCTTCGTCCGGGTTGGCATAGCCTCCTTCGATTTGGAGTTCGTCGAAGCCGTCTTTGTAGGCGTAAGTGTTGCCGAAGAATCCGAGTGTATATTCGTCGCTCTCCTTTTCCAGGATCATCATGGTGTGCCGACCTTTGGGTCCTACAGCGCTGAACGGTTTGTAGACGTCCGGTGTGACTTGATGCGTTGTCCAGCCTTCTGGGAGCTTTCCGTAATGCCATTCTGGCGATGCGTGGGCTGCGACTTTTTTGGGTATGGTGTATATCTGGCCGTACTTCTTCTTGAAAGAGATCAAGTTGTCGATGAGCATGAGCCCCTTTTCGGGCGTGTCGCCTGCGCAGTAGAGTACGGGAAGCCATTTTTCCAGACCAGTCTGGTCGGGATCTGGATCTCCGCTGGGGGCGGGAGCGCCACTCAGTGCTTTGATGTGGAACTTGTCCTCGAGCTCTGGGAGGCTCTTCGTGCCGAGAAGCTGCGTTGTTTGCACGAGTCGTCGGAGTTCGCCTAGGAATTGATACGTGATGGATTTGCCTGGCTGTGGGGTCGCGTGACGAATTTGCAGCTGCCAAAGTTGTGTCGATGGACCGATGTCAGAAAATATTCCATATGGCATGGCCGAGCCCCACGGCGTGATTGTGACGATCACTTCTGCGGGGAAGTCCTGAAGCCTTTGTTTGCTGCTGCGAGCAATCTGGCTGGGTTTGATTCTGCGCTTGCCGGTCGATGTTATCGGAGTCGCGGAAGCTGTTGGTGTTGACGTAGTCTCCATTGCCGAGAAGGTCGAACGGTGATTTAGTTTTACTGAAAGCCTGGGTCTCGAGCCGAGCTGATTGGTCGTGTCTGCGAGAGTCCTGAGGAGTCTTGAGGTTTGGAGGAGGTGGGGGGTCGGGGGGGGGGGTACGTTGTGGAGGCTTCTTGCATGTTGCACGGCTTGTTTTTTTTTTTTTTTTTTCTCTCCTGTCTGGTGCGTGCTTGTCGCTTCTGCCGTCTTACTCCTCGACTGGTGTCGTTCGTTTGGCTGGGGTCAACGGAATTGTGATCTCATCCAAGGGGATGTCATGGGCATCTTCTGCTTCGTCGAACAGACCCTTTTGGTTGAGCTTGTGGCTGTTCGACTTCTTCTTTTTTCCGGCTCCTCGAGGTATAACGTCGTCTCGGTGTGCTTTGAATCTTACCCAGTTTGATATCACGGGAGGTCTGTAAAAGGACACATTGGATGAGAGTTGCTGAATGTCCTGCAAGTCGATGGCGAACGTGGGATTCCATGGGGGCTCGTCGCTCAGGTGGTGGTGTTCCGTTCTCGTGGCGAGGAAACGTTCTTTGCTCAGAGTAGTGCAGGAGTGGACGGTTGCTCTGCCGTAAATCAAGCCGTCGTGTCCTAGCCAGACGGGTCCCGTGGGCACTGCGTGCTTGCGCAGCATCAGTGTATTCTTTTGTTGGAGTGCGAGGATCAACCACGCTTCTGGCATGACCATGATGTTGTCGCCTTTTTGCGGGGATGGATCGGGCTCTGTGATGCTTGCTACAGAGGTTTGACTTGCTTTTTTCTCCAGTGGCGGTTGCATGCTCAATGGGAGCCGTATGGCTTCGTCCTCTGGGTGTTCTTTCTTTTCTCGAAGGTCTCCGTCTTCAACTTCATTTGAGGCGGCCGAGCTTAGATCCACTGAGTCCTGTGTGAAGGGAGGGATGGTAGAAATGAATGACAGAAACAGACGACACCTTGTGCATGTCTGCATGCAGATGTGCTCGTGCCTGTGTACATACTGTTTCATATGTCTTGGCGTGACTTGATGGCCTCCGGCAGGCTTTCTTCCATTTTGTTACGGGCCTGGTCTGGCGAGGCGAGTCCTTAGCTTTCGCGGCTGTTAGCAGCACTTCTTTTGGTGACGTGAAACGGGTTGTGTTTGTTGTTAGTCCTGTTTCGTCCGGCCTGGTGCTGCTTCGGTCTGATGGACGGAGCTTCTTGGCGGTGCTGCTGTTGCCTGTCTAAGAGGTGCAATTCACTTACGTGAGCAGTCGTGCATGCCGATCCGGCCTCTTGGTTCGGTACTGAGGAGGTCGTCTCGGTGGTCTCGTGCCGTTCTTCGCATGCGAGTGGTAAAGTTTTGGTCAGCTGTGGCAGCATTGTTGTCGTTGTCGCAGAGCGAGCGGCTGCTGATGGCTGGCGTTGGTGGAGTGTTTTCACGATTCGTAGATCCTTGAGCCTCTGCTGCGAAATCGAGTCGGTGTCACACCAGAGCTAGTGTGTATGTAGCGTGGCATGCAAGGTAACGTGATGGCAGGCGTTATAGCTCTGTGCAGGATCCATTTTGTCATTCTCACCATCGGCGGTGGAAGTTCTTGAGCACTTCGTTCCAACACCGTTGTTCGTGCTCGGACGTGGCATTCGTAGACCTAGCTGCGTGATTATACTTGGTGTGTTTGATTTGAGGGTATGGGGTTTGAAGAAAACAAACATATTCTTATTCAGATTCGTGGACTTGGTGGTGTGATTATGCTTGGCGTGTTCGATTTGAGGGTATGGTGTTTTGAAGTTGAGATAATCAACATATTCTTATTCAGTGCGAGTAAATCTTGCTCTTTTTTTGACTGGCGACAGAGTGATCAGACTGTGCCAGACGTCTTGTGCCCATACTCCAGGAGGTCGATGTGGTGGGGCACGATCTCTGCAGGTCGCGATCGCAAGCTTCAGCAGGTGTCGGGACAGTTTTGCAGGATTTATGTAGGTGTCGGCGTTGTTGTGCATTGTTGCAAAGATCGCGAGTTTGCCCTTGATCATGTTTGCGAAGAGGTGATCGTCGGCCATGAGGTTATGCTGTCCGTAGTTGTAACGTCTTCGTTCGTGCTTTTGTGAAGTTCGCCTTCTGATGGTCCAGGTGGCATCTCGTCGTGATTTCATGTTGAGCTTGTGGTGTTTAGTTGGGGCTCGCCAGCGTTTTGTTCGAGGTTGTTTTAGCCAAGGGTCAGGCGACCGCAGCAGTCGCCGTGTCGAGCATTGGTTCCTCGCAAGTAGTCGTACCATTGGTTTTCGATCAGCGGCGCTGTGCCATGGTGGCGGCATAGAGTGATTGTGTATTGTGTGTGCCATTGTTTCGTGCTGATGACTTTGTTTCTACATCCCTGAGGAGCGTGGTTTTCTTTTTGCGTTTTTGAGCCAAATGGATTGTGGTGGCATAACGATGCACAGAGATCGAATACTCCATGCTTGTGACCGATTTCTATGAGCCAGTCTTGCTAGATTTCGATGTGGCCGAGCGGTCTTGTGCAGCTTTCTTCGAAGGGAAAATCTCTTCTTGGAGCGTTTGAAACTATTGCTGGCTGCAGCTTTTCATGCAGTCAGCGTGAGACAGAAGATGGCCTCGAGTCTCGTGCTTCTTTCTGTTTGTCTGTTTGTGGCCTGCTTTTGTTCGGGTCTGTTGAACTTTCTTCCGCGGAGCTTCTTTGTTGCGTGGTCGCCATGCAGGTTTCCTCTGACAGGGGTTGCCATAGCGGTCCTTTGATGGGCTTGTACAGCACGGGCTCCTTGTAAGCTTGTGGATTCTCGAGCACCCAGGCGTGCACGATCCGGTAGTCTCGATGGAAGTTCGCGTCGTTGTGCTTTGTCGTGTTTTTCGGGTTCATAAAGAAGTTCTCCTTCGCTTTCGGTTCCTGGTTGTAGGGCTGCCATTTATCGTCCACTTTCCTGCCCACGGGGATGCTGTTCACGAAATCGACTTCTCCATAGATCAGGTGTTCTCGTCTGGCCGCTATGCAAAACCGGCCTCGCTTGTGCAGTTGTGTGCCTCGCAGTTCCCATGTTCGCTTGCCGTGCAGGATTTCCAGGGCACGGTGTTTGCTCATCACCAAGGCATGCCGCGGAGTCTCGGTGCTTGGCTTCTGTGCGGACTTGGTCATGTCTGGGCCTTTCGGACTGCTAATTGGATTCTTTCGGTCCAGAGCGCTACTCTTGAACCGATGTTGCAGCGGACGCATTCGGCTGCGTTTATGCAGGATCTATACCCCTGGTTGAATCACAATACGTATCGAGTATGCGTTTGGGAAAAATGATGCAGTTCCCGTGTCGCAGACATAGCATGATGTGTAACGGTGTCACAGCAGTTGTTGCGGGTTCGTCTCTGTGTGTGTGTGTGTATTACTTATTTTGTTTTTTTTTTTAGCTCTTTCTTTTCGCAAGCGACTGGATGCTTCGGTTGTTCGGTATAATGGTAGTTCATCGGCATTGCCTCACTGTGTGTCTCGTCGTCTTCCCTCTGTCTGCGTCGTGCTTCGTTGGTGGGCCGTTGTGCATGTACTTGTCGATGAGTGGGTTGTCGTCGCGAAGTGCTGATAAGCCGGGAGGATTGCAGCAGTGTGTGGGAATGTCTTCTTGGTGCATGTTGAAGGTCGATCCTTCGTGCTGCGCGTTGATCTGACCCCAGTTGTGGAGCATGACGATGAGCACTATGCTTTCTGCTCTGGTCCAGTGTTTCAGTGCTTGCCACAACGCGTCATTTTCGAGAAGCAGCTGGGTGAGTTCGCCTCGGCTTGCGCCTGTGTGCCGAATATTGATTTCCAGCCATTCGGAATAGATCAGAAGTGTTTGCGCCTTGTTTTTCCAGCTTCGTTCTGGAGTGTTGTATCGAGCGTAAACGTACGCCAGTGAATTGGGGAAGTAGTCCAGGATGTCGCTCATGTGGCTGTTGTGGCTGCTCGCCATTCGATTGACACGTCGGGTGAACTCGGCTTTGAGTTGGGATTCCATGGCTGCGAGTGTGGGAAGGGATATGGTCGACCTCCGGGCTCCGTGCTGTTGGGTTGAAAGAGTGGCCTTGAGCCGTGGGAAGCTTGCATGTTTGGTAAGTTGTAGTGGTGTTGCTGCTGGGGCTGTGTGCTTTGCCTTGGCGAGTGCTCGAAGTCGGGTTCTGCTTGGACAAACACTGTAGATGTTGGTGCCTCCCCTTTTTTTTCTTTGCTAGCTTGGTGAGTCGACTCTGTCTGCTGCTCAGCAGTCTTCGTTCTGGTGCTTCACAAAGGTATGCCATACCTGGGCGCAGGTGTGGGTTTACAGCATGGACGTGAGCGAGAAGTCGATGTTGTAAACAATCGGTCCTGCCTTGTGCGGATCACCAGCGTGAACCGTTGCTCTATGTTGGGGATCTCGTTTATTTTGAGTTGCATGTTGATGAGGGAGCCCTCTGTGTCCAGCATCCAGGGTGGAATGACCAAGCCCAGTCCGGCTCGCTCGCAAAACTTCCTCAGCGTCGTCTCCAGTCGCTGTGTTCCTGGTGCCAGTAGGTCGATGGAGTAGCCGCTCAGGAACTGTAATTTGAGTGTCTTCGGTGGCTTTTGTTCGTAATGTATAATTCTCCTGAGTGCAGTGGTTGCTGCGTGTGAATGTTTCGTGTCGGGTATGGTTTATCGCGTGTCTTCTCTGGCTGAGCTCCGCGCATGATGTCTCGAAGACGATCCAGCCTGCAGTGTGTCGGGACGATGGCAGGCTTGTTGTGGGGGGGCTGTCCATATTTTCAACTCGGGCGATGCTTTTTTTACTGGGCTTGTGACCTCTTGATGGCCAGTTTGTGCGTGTGGATGAGGCTGATCACGTGACGAAGTCGGCTTCTGTTGATCTTGAAGTAGTCCTGAGTATCATGGTATCAGCTGGGTTGGCCGGCAAAGTGAATCTCGTTCTTGGACTGCTGCGAGCTGAGACAGGGGGCATCTTCTCGTTGTGGTTTCCTGTCGGCTCATGCTCCGATATGGGTCTTCAGCTCAAGCTGCTTGAAAGACGAGTTTGTCGAGTGCATCGTGGCAGGCCTGCTTTCGTTTGCATGACAATCGGCTCGACATGGCTGCCGGCCGTTAATCTACTTGTAGATTTGGAGCGCTTGAGCAGCAATGTGTAGCTTGGTCAGCCTGACCGATATGATTTTTTGTTTGCTGTGTTTGGAGTGTTGATTTTGTGTATAGAAGGTACTGCAGCATTTCACGTTTGCGTATAGCCTTTGGTCACGTGTGGGCCTAATCATGCCAGCACTTAAATAGAGTTGGTAGGTCGCTGACTTGACTACGTGAGTGCCTTAGTATTGTGTTTCCATTTGGTTGATGGTTACTGTCGAATTTGCAAGATATATATATATATATATATTCATTTATATTTATTTCAACATTCAGTTTGTGAGCAATAATTAGTTCATGCAGGCATGACCCCTTTTGTCACTCTTTTTGTGCGCTGGGTATCTCATTGGGCATCAGAGTCGCCGAATTGCTGCTGAATGCTGTGTTGCTAGATCTTCTGTTACTCTTTTTGGTGTGTGTGTGTGTGTGTGTGTGTGGGTGTGCGTGCGCGTGCGCGTGCGCGTGTGCGTGTGCGTGTGCGTGTGCGTGTGCGTGTGCGTGTGCGTGTGCGTGTGCGTGTGGGTGTGTGTGTGTGTGTGTGTGTGTGTGTGTGTGTGTGTGTGGGTGCGTGCGTGCGTGCGTGCGTGCGTGCGTGCGTGCGTGCGTGCGTGCGTGCGTGCGTGCGTGCGTGATTCGTCTTATTGACCAATAATTTCCAACGGCCGTCGCTCAAGTGTTTTTGGCCATGGATAGCTTCTCGATGTTCTGAGTCGCTTGGACCTGAGCAGGGATGTAGAGTACTTGTTGTTTTCAATTAATGGTCGTGTGGGCTGTCGTCGATCGAATGCTCTGAGATTTGCTGAGCTTCGCGCCAAAGTTAGGCACCTGTTTGCTTCGATGAAGCCATAGAACGCGGCGCTTGGACTTAAGGGTGTTCCGGATTCGTCGATCAATGCGAGGTCGGGGAGCTTGTCTGTCTTGTGATTCCACCAGTTTTCGGAGTGGCGTGCTTCTGGTTGATCGTCTGCTGGTAGGGACAACTGATGCCAGGCGGTACATGCTAGCGTCTTGACTGGCATGCCGTTGTGAACATCGACGGATGTCGTTTTGCCCGAGATCGTTGTAACCACAACTGAGCCGATGTGCTTTGCCGGACTCACTCCTCTCGGGGTCGTTGCTGGAGTGGTCGCCACGGGGCTTCGAGGAGGTTCCTGCATCATGCCACTGGACATGCACGTTTCGGCGTGGGGGCGAGTTGGAGTTGGCTTTGCCAGAGTTGGCTCGAGCCTTGCTGTTGCACTCTGTGTTTGGCGATGTGGCGGTGACGGGTCGCGTGTCTATGCATTTCATGTTCATGGAGCTGGATCGTATTAATACGTCGCGAGTCATGGACATGGATGGCATGTCAAAAGCCGATCACATCATTTTTTTTCTCTCCGATTGTTCACGCTGCTGTCTGGAAACGAATGTCAGGAAGTTTAGTGTGGCCGTTGGATTCAAGACACCTGAGCATCGCAAGGCGTCTAATGGCATGTGCTGGTCTTTGGCATGTGTCGAGCTTAGGGCCAAACGTTCGCTGGATCTCTAGGAGATTGTGGATCTCTTTTTTTCTTTGCTTTTTCACTCGCCTGTCTGTTTGCACGATCGGGTTTGCACATAGATATTTAAAGTGTGGTGCGTGGGTTATGTTATGTCAACTGACGGCGTGCCTTTTCTTTTGCTCGCCTGGCTCTTGCGACTGCACCTTACTGTGTTTTCGGAGTCATCACACCTCTGACTTGTTAGAGATGATTCGATCGAGTTCTAAGGTTCCGGCGTCTGGCTCATGATGAGCGTGTAGCGCGTTTCGAGCTCACTTTCGTCCCATTTACGAGAGAGGGACACGGACTTTCCATTCGCATCTGCGAGACTTGGTGTTCCTGAAAGTTGCAAGTCCTTGCAGATCCTGCTGAGCTGGGGCTTCAGCGACGTGCACCTCGGAATCGGACTAGGGCTCAATCTGGTAGAATCAAGGGTTTTGCGTGTCTAACGTGCAGGACGAGGTGCGTTACCACATTGGCTTCAACTTCTCTTCCGCTTAGCAGGCGTAGCTTCAGTGGGCGCACGAACCGTCTGCGGTATTCTTGGGCGAGTGACCTGAAAAAAACGCTGCGTGGTTTTACAGGTGCAAAGGTTCATGTGGGCAAGGCTGAGGTGGTCCGCTGAGGTCTCGACAGGACTTCAGCTTGCAGTAATTCTTTCTTGTCGACCGCTGTTGTCGTTTTCACCATTTGGAGCGAATGATTGAGGTACAGAAGGCTGGAATCTCGTACTTTCAATAAGTGGCTCGAGCAAACATCGACAGTCATCGGCACATCAAAATGCGCGGGCAGGTTGTGGGGACACAATCCCCTATAGACTCTGCAGAATACTGTGTAGTTTTTGTGGTGAGCAGTCTTATATAGGCATGATCGGATGGATAATAAGTAAGCAAAATTGCATGCAGCACCTTTTTTTTTTGGGTGCTTGAGCGCGGCGATGTTTCTGTGAAGAAGTTATCATTCGACACATCGGGGTGATTCGGCGCAGCAGACCTGAGCATCAGAAGGCGTTCTTTTTAGATCGTTCTAATGCATGTTCTGAATTGAGGGCATCACATTTATGCTTCTTGATCAGCGTGTGAATTCAATCAAGTCCATGCTCGTCTGCTTGTTCGCCTGGATTTGTGTCATAGGACCTCGGTTGTGCTGCTTTTTTTAAGGGGTGATGGCGGGGAGTGGGGGGAGGGGAGAGGCTGCTTTTTTTCTTGTCATCTTCGAGAATGGTGTTAGGGTCCTGGCGTCTGGCTCAAGATGATTGTGTAGCATGCTCTCGGATTGATGTCACCCCACCTCTTGAACAGGGGCACTTTCTTCCCCTTCGCATCTGCAAGACTTGGCACGCCCGCCAAACATAGATGCTTGCAGATGTCGCCAAGTTCCGACTTGATCGTGCGGTTCCTGCAAATGGAGGTGGATTTTCATAGATTTCAGAAGTGTGTGATATGAGTGCATGGCTAGGCGCTTTGTGACTCTGACTTCCATTTGTCTTCCGCTCATCAGCCGCAATTTGAGCGTTTGTGACAACATGGTGCGAACGTCTTCGCACTGTGACCTCGGCGTCAGGTGGTCTAGAACATGGGCAGAATTTGCAAAGTCAACAGGTAAGGTCCTGACGTCAGTTCTACCAGCTGTTTTTTTTGAGATGGGCTCAGCTTCTTTGTCGGCATGTTGAGCGTGCTGCTCCCGTGTGATGCTAGGAAGCGATTTTTTTTTTTAAATGTATAGCAGGCTCGAGCAAATATTGCGGAGCGATGGTTTTGTTCGAGCTGCTGTCAATCCAAAGAATATCACCTCTAGTGAAGCAGCCGATGAGTTGTAGAAAGAAGGCCGGCGGCATGAGAGTCGTGCTGATATTTTTGACTCGCACGCGGACACTCATCCAGGTGAAATGCAAAACTACTGATAGTGCATGGCAGTCTGCGAGCTCGACCTCATTCGTCGATGTGTGCCTTAGTTGTTGCATTCTTGCACCGTCGTCAAGGCACTTTACAACGCCTGACGCAGTTGGCGATGAATTCCTAGATACTTCGAAACTTGCAGCTGAGAAGCCGGATCGGTTCGCCTGTCTTCAAGCAGGTCTCGGATGCCTCCTTCTCCAACCATATCTTCTTCGATTTCTTCGTGGGTGGTAGCGCTTCCTGTGCCTGATCCTTCATTATTCTTTTTGTGGAGCGCCTTCTCTTTTCTTTTGTCCTTCTTGTGTTTTTTTGTGTCTTGCTTTCTGTCCTTGGGCTTTGCCTTGCCTTTTTGTTTTTCTGCTTTTTTCGCCTCGGCGACCATGTGGGTCGCGAGTTGTAGTCGTGTCTTGCAGGTGTCTCGTTGAGCTTTGGCGAGTAGAAACACCTTCTCTGATTGGGTCATCGCCTGCTTGGCTGTTGCTGCTTCTGCTAGGGCTTCTTCTAGTGGAGGTATGGTTTCTTTATCGACGTATTGTTGCATGGTGCTCAGCCCCACTGTTGCGAAACTGGGGGTGCTTGGCGCTGCCAGAAGGGCATTGGGCGTCATGACTCCGCTGGACATGGCGTCAGCAAGGCAGGGGGGAAATCGCGAATCTACTTCCTCAAGCACTGTTAAGCCGATCAGCATTCCGAGTTTTGAATGTGCTGTGTCGAGATTGCAGTCATTGGATTTTTTTTTGTCAGTCTCTCTTTCTTTCTCACTCTCTTTCTCTCTGCGCGGCTAGATATGCTTTTTTTTAAGTATACCTATTTTCTTCCTTTTTTCTTGAATGCAATTTTAGCAGTTGCGGTGTTTCCATACATGGGTGAGACGCATCAGCCAAGGTTCGGGAGTTTATATACCTGACGTTGATGCAGTCAGTGCCTTTGCTTTGTCATCACTTCACTTCAACACAAGTAGGAAAATAGGAGAAAAGGCTAATATGTTTCTGTATGTCTGGTCATGTGATGCTTGCGTGAACTCTTCGCTGCAGCCAAGTCACTGAGTCGGGTTCTCGGCATGCCTCGGTTCACAAGAGCTTAGCAGAAGAGAGGTTTCAAGATGAAACGGTAATGCCCGTGCAAGCATAAATGCATGCAAACTCTGCAATGAAATAGACATCTGTTCGTGGGTGAGGACATGTGATGCTCACTTGTCGGTATACCTTAGCTCAAGAAGGCTCAGGGCAAGAGGATGCTAAACTCGAAACAGCAATGCAAGACAAACAGACATGCGTGTCAGTCATTCTGGCTCTAGATGCGCGAGGGTGCTTCGATGGCGAGTCCGATGTTCTTGGTTGAAATGGAGAGGTCCAAAAGAGGATCTGACTTTCGAGGTTGAAAACGAAGGTCCACCAAAAGTGAGGCTGGCGTCTCTCATTTGTGGCACTGACACGGTTACAGTGAAGGCGTGCAGAGCACAGCCGAGTGAGCAATTGCTGCATCAGTAATGCAGCGCATGCTGAGAAAAAATTGCCGTGTCGCGCGAGGCGCGGCCTGATGAGTAAAGTGAGATCTGTGCGTGAGCGCAGTTCTCACAAGACGCGTTTACTAGAGGCCTGAAGGTGAGGCTCATTTTTCGATGTCGAGTCGATGGCCTGAAATGTGAACCCGTTTTCGGAGCTCTGGAAATGCAGGCTCATCTGGGGTCTGAAATCTGGACCTTTTTAATCCGGAGCTCTGAAATCAGGCTCTTTCAGGTTCGTGGGGAGTGAGCCTGAAATAGGAACCTTTTTGAGGCTGATCTCTAAACACGATGGACGCCGGCCCGCAGTCCGTGCCACCTGCCCTCCCAGACAAAGCAGATAGGATTGCGATGTCAATGCCCTCGTAGTAACGTGAGAGTTCACGCGTTCCGATTAACGGGCTAAGGAAGACGCCCGCTCCCGTACGGCGCTGACACACCAACAGACACTTTACTTACTGTGTGTCGCCTTCTGCGTAACACCATGTGTTGTTGCAGAAAGCGGCCGGGGCAAAGCAAAGGTCGCCAGTAGGAGATCCTATGCAAGCAGGTAGAGATGGCACCTAAGCTCCAGCCTTTATGCTTGGAAAGGCGTTCCAACTGAGCATTGTGCAGGGTGTTGCGGGGCAGGTCCGTGAGGCAGGATTTTGCCTCTGCCTGGCAAAGTTTGCCTGTGATTTTGTCGCTTTTTGACAAAATGTGCCTCGATGTGAGAGTTCTTGGAGGTTTTCGAGCTGGATTTTGTCGTCGAATGACAAAGTGCGCCTTTGCATTTTGCCAGTCGACGACAAAGTTGCTGATTGGAGCGCCTTCTGCGTTACAGGGCTGGACGTCTCGAGGATTACAGCCTGGATTTTGAGCTGGATTTTGTCATCGAGTGACAAAGTTCATGCTTCTGTTTTGCCCGTCGGGGGCAACATTGCTGATTGGAGCGCCTTCTGCGTTACAGGGCTGGTTGGCTTGAGGCTTTACACTCGGTGGCGAAGTTGTTGATTGGAGCGCATGTCGTGTGACAGTGCTGGTCGTTGCAAACATGCGGCGCCAACGAGTAAATCACCTAGCAAGACATGGAGTCCGTAGTGTAGCGGCGCGCGCTCCTGGTCGGGTTCGAGGCCCGGGGAGAGGAGTGGGTTCGATTCCCACCGGGCTCATTTGGTTGGTGTCTTGGTGGGACGATGTGAGAGTTCTTGGAGGTTTTCAAGCTGGATTTTGTCGCCGAATGACAAAGCTCACCTTTGCATTTTGTCAACCGGCGACAAAATAGACGATTGGAGCGCCTTCTGCGTTACAGGGCTGGACGGCTTGAGGATCACAGCTTGGATTTCAAGCTGGATTTTGTCATCGAGTGACAAAGTTCATGCCTCTATTTTGCCCGTCGGTGGCAACATTGCTGATTGGAGCGCCTTCTGCGTTACAGGGCTGGGGAAGGCCCTATGGGGGATAAAGTTCGCCTTTGCATTTTGCCAGTCGACGGCAAAGTTGTTGATTGGAGCGCCTGCTGCGTCACAGGGCTGATGGGTTTGAAGGTCCATGTAGTGGACTGTGTCGCCGGGTGTGGTCGAGCGCAGGCTTGGCTGGTAAAACCTACCGGCTCCGGCGCAGTGCATTTAGCTCTTCGGTCAAGGTTGTTTTCGAGGCCTTTGTCGATTCGAGCCTGGAAGCCGTTGAGTTTTAAGTTCGAGTCCATTTCTTGACCGCTGCGCCATCTCAGCCGGCAAACAATTTGGTTTCTTGAGGTTTTCAAGCTGGATTTTGTCATCGAGTGACAAAGTTCGCTTTTGCATTTTGCCAGTCGATGACGAAATTGCTGATTGGAGCGCCTGCTGCGTTACAGAACGCGGGCATAAGAAATGGTAAGACTGAGGCCCGGGCAGCCCAGCTCCGGTGATCAGCCGGAGCCAGCGGCGGTTGGTGTCCAACCGCCGCTGCGCTGGCGCAGGGTCCGAGGGTGACGGTTTAACCACTGCGCCAGCGGGGCTCTGTTTCTGTTCTTTTTGCGTGTTGGCTTCCGTGGACTTTGTCGTTTGGCGAAAAGACTCAGTTTGTATGAGGTTGCTTTGTTGACAAAATGTGGCTTTGTCGGAGGTCTCCTGTGAGCTTGAATTTTGCAATCTTTGACAACATGTGGCTTTTTTGGAGGTCTCCCGGCAGCCTGAATTTTGCCATCTGTTGACAAAATGTGGCTTTGTCGGAGATCTCCTGGGAGCCTGAATTTTGCTCTGTTGACAAAATGTGGCTTTGTAGGGGATCTGTGGCTTTGTAATTTCCATCGGCACATTTGCTTTGTCGGAAAATTGCCTTTGTGGGCTTTGTCTCTGAATTTTGCCAATGTGGCTTTGTAGGGGATCTCCTGTGGCCTTGTCAATTTTGCCATCGGTTGACAAAATGTGGCTTTGTCGGAGGTCTCCTGTGAGCTTGAATTTTGCTATCTTTGACAGCATGTGGCTTTTTTGGAGGTCTCCCGGCAGCCTGAATTTTGCCATCTGTTGACAAAATGTGGCTTTGTCGGAGACTTCCTGGGAGCCTGAATTTTGCCATCTGTTGACAAAATGTGGCTTTGTAGGGGATCTCCTGGGAGCCTCAATTTTGCCATCGGTTGACAAAATGTGGCTTTGTCGGAGGTCTCCTGTGAGCTTGAATTTTGTTAAGTTGTCGACAAAATATGGCTTCGTAGGAGATCTCCTGGGAGCCTGAATTTTGCCATCTGTTCACAAAATGTGGCTTTGTAGGAGGTCTCCTGTGAGCATGAATTTTGTTGTCTTTCGACAAAATATGGCTTTGTAGGAGATCTCCTGGGAACCTGAATTTTGCCATCTGTTGACAAAATGTGGCTTTGTTGGAGGTCTCCTGGGAGCCTGAATTTTGTCATTTTTGACAAGATATGGCTTTGTCGGAGGTCTTATGAGAGCCCGAATTTTGTCATCATTTGACAAAATGTTGGTTTTGTTGAAAGCCTTCTGGGAGCCTGAATTTTGTCATCTGTTGACAAAATGTGGCCTTGTAGGAGGCCTCCTGGGAGCATGAGTTTTGTCATCTTTTATTCTTTGTAGGCGATCATTTGGGTGTCACGAAGTGATGAAGCCTGAGCTTGTTGGAGTTTTTTTTGGGAGAACCCGATTTTGACATCCAGTGACCAAATGGGGGTGTGAGAAGTGAAAACCCGTGTGTCCACTCCGCTGCAGTCGGAGTCGAGCTCTGCTTTGCAGAGCTCGCTCGGGCGTAGGGACAGCGTCCTGTCCACTACGCCGCCGGGACGCTCGAGATTATGTGGCTTCACAATTGCTTTGGATTGTTTTTGCTCGGCGACTAAAGGCGGGAACGTAAAGAAGCAGGTTAGGTTTTTGTCACCCAGCGGCAATGTTTCAGAGGACACGAGGCCGAGTTGGAGAAAGGCTTTGAATTAGGGTGCTTGATTTGCTGTGAAGAGGTGGCATTTTGTCGCTTTGTGACAAAATGTCATGCGGAATGTTTTTAGGGAGTCTGCATTTGAAGTGGTGAACTTTGCTGCTTCGGTGGCGCAGTGGTCGGAACTATGCTGGAATGCTGTGCTGCATGAGTTCGAACCCTAGTTGCCGCAGCTGTACTCTCAAGCTACTGCCTGTAATTCCTCGACCCTCCAGCAATCCTCCATGACTCGGGAAGAAGAATCGGTGGCAGTGTTGAAGAACCTCATCAAGATGATGCAGCAGATGGAGGACGGCAAGATCCCAGCTGAGCGTAGGAAGGTGTGGCTGAAATTCATAAGCCAGAAGCTCGGCGAGCTGGGCGGCACCATGCCGGATAAGCCTGAAGAGGGCCGGGGTCGTAAGCGCAAGAGGCACTGAGAGAGAAAAAAAAGAGATGCCGTGCACGTGATGTGTTTTGTGAGAGAGAGAGAGAGACAGCGGGGTGAACTGCAAGCGCGCAAGGGTTGTAACGGTAACAGCTGGTCCTGGCAACTTGTTCTTATTCTTGTAATGTACATGGATCTCCTAAATGAAAATTTAAATGCATGTCTGTTTGTATTGGGTTTCTTTGAACTCTTCAGAGCTTGAAGGGTTTTTTGTACCCTTCGGAGTTGAAGGGTCTTGTGTGCAAATCCACGGCGTGGATGTTGTCATCGAGCGTCATTTCCGAATGATAACTAAATAAGGTTCGGAAAGCATTTTTCGAATGATAGCCAAATCAGGTTCGGAGGGCCCTTTCCGAATGATAACCAAATGAGGTTCGGAGGAGCTTTTTCCGAATGATGACCAAATAAGGTTTGAAAGGGCCTTTTTGTGAATGATCACCAAATAAGGTTCGGAAGGGCCCATTCCGAATGATAGCCAAATGAGGCATAAGGCATTTTCCGAATGAAGGTTCGGAGCCCAATTTGCCTGAATGTTAGTCCAATAAGGTTCGGCCAAAAGTTTGAAGGGTTCCCTAAGCCCTTCAGAGCTAGAAGGTTTTACTCAAACCCTTCGGAGCCTGAAGGGTTTCTCCAAACCTTTCAGAGTCGGAAGGGTATTTCTAAACTCTTCGGAGCCTGAAGGGTTTCACTAAACTCTTCAGAGCCTGAACGGCGAAGGATTTTCCTAAACCCTTCAGAGCCTTAGGCGTTTCTCTGACCCCTTTTAGAGCTTGGCTGGTTTGCTTAAACCCTTCGGATTGAGGAGCCCTTTCGAATGATAAACTTGCCAGGTTCTGAGTACTGGCTCGATGCAGCGGGGTCCTTGGCTGTCGCATTTGTTTGGGTTTCGACTTCTGCTACATGAAGCAGGCCGCGTTTGTTGCAAGTAGCAGTCTTTAGGTCGTTCTTCTTCCATGTTGCTTTTTGCTGCATCAAGGCAAGGATGACGGACGGGTTGTGTTGCCTTCCGTTGTCACTCTTCTAAGTGCAGGAAATTAATTTGACGCAGGCAATCGTGTGCGACGACCTGGCCTCTTGGTTCGTCTCTGTGCCGATTGTCTTCGTCATGCTCAGGTGGTCTTCTGATGTGAGTGAAAGCGTGCTGGCTCGTTGTGATAACATTACTGCTAGCAGTTGCAGAGTGATCTGTTAAATGTCGCTAGTGATGGAGACTTTGCTCCATATCCTTCTTGTGTCCTTGAGCCCTTGCTATAGATTGGTGGGACACATGGTTGGGCCTTCTCTACCTGATTTGGTGATGCACGGGTTCTTTCATAGATTGCTGGTGGACGGCAGACGGCTGACGGCTGACGGCTGGCGCACTTTTGATTGACGTCGCGTTTTGTTGTTTGACGTATGTGCGCCAGGTGTTTCGCGCCTGTGCGTTTTTCTAGGACCTAGGCTAGCCATGAGCCGATGCCGTCCCAAACCTGCTCGATCCGATTTGTGAAATTGTACACCGGGAACGGGGCGCCGGTGTGAAAGTCCATTCCGGTCATGACATGGTGCAAGGTGTAGAAGTTGAACTGCATGCAGGGCTTGCCTCCGCGCTCGTACAGCACGATGCCTGCGTCGCGTTGGGCAGCGAATGCTGTGCTCGGTGTCAAAGTGGCAGACTGCCAGAGACTTCGAAACGAGGGATAGTGGAACCACGCAATGTGTTGTGAGTTCCAGTTCATGCTTCGCATGACCCAGGCCAAGGTGCCTCGCTCTGCGTGCGGGTTTCGGGAGAGTTGGACCATCCTTCGAAGCCACGCATGCAGGTCTATTTGAGCAGGGCAGGGATGTAGCAGTGCGAAGTTCTGAAGCTGTGTTTGTTCGCGAAGAGCTTCGCGTCGCAACGCTGGATTGTCTGGAAGGCGAGGGACTGTTGAGAACTGTCCAACTTTGATGGGTTGGCGTGGCGAGCATGGAGGCAATGGATGCTGGAAGATCTCGTCGTCGCTGTCTTCCTGCAGCTTCTCCCACTTGGAGTAGTCGATGGTCGGCATGGGATTTACTTGTGTGGTTCTGTATGCTATCTTTGGCTGGAGCCTGTGTTGGGCTACACAGATTATGGAAGGATCTCGTGAGAATTGCTAGCTCGCATGGTTTAATTTCACCTCTGCTTTGCGTGGCGTGCGCACGGCGTGCGTGTGCATGTGCTAGGATGGGTTGGTTGACTCACTACTGTGCGAGCTGCTTAGCCTCGCACCAGCGCCAGGCGCGTGTTTGCTTGAATGGAGTCATATAGTTTGTGGTGCTTGGATTTTTTTTTTTTAGGGGGGGGGGGGGGCGTCTCGAGTCGTTCATTGGCATAATGTCAGGAGGCATATGCAACCAGTTTCTAGGTTGCCGTGCTTGTGGTTAACTGGTTGCTGCTTTTTTGTTCTTTGGGAGAGGCTTGAAGGCTGAGAAATCCTACCTCGGCGGCACACAGACTGTTCTTTATCCTCGCGTTGTGAAGCATATCAGGGATAGGGTGAAACTTCGGTTTTAGAGCGATCGCATTGGTGCGCCAACATTATGTCGGAACTCTGCCTCTCGAGCCGACATCTTCCTGCGGACTCTTCTCGTCCATTTTTGCTCGTCCAGCAAATCTGTTTCGCTGCATAGTATAGTGTCGTCGTCAACATTCTTGGAGCCGCCGACTAGACTCACGTGAATGGGATCGCTCCAATCTTGAATCCAGGATTCAGATTGTGCTAGGATGAGTACGTCCGCAATAACAAGGCGCCATTCGAGCCTGTGGCCGTACAGGGGAAAGCACGTGTACACGTTTCCAGGGCGATGTGGCATGTTCTCATATCGAATCTCTCCGATTTGACGGCCAGCCATGCTATAGACGAAGAAGAAGGGGTTGTTTGTCACAACGTCCCAGCATGGCTCTAGGGACAGCACTAGCGTCCTTGACATAATTGTGGCAGTGGTTCTAGAATGATGTGACGTGAATGAAGTGCTCTTTTGTTTTTTTTTATTGGGGGGGGGAGGGGGGGAGGGGGGGGTGTTCGACACTCTTATTGTCCTAACTTGCAGTTAGAGGTACCGATTGGAATGCTTACAGTATAACAATAATGCGAGAATCTTGAAGCAGATTGGGAAGAGATCAAAATCTCTGAGACTCTGAGCCAAAACATGGTCAGTCGTTGAGAGTTTGCATGGAGTGCTCGCACGTTTTGACTGGTGAAGCTTCTAAGCATTTTTTGCTTTGTATGAGCTGCGTATTGTCATGTGGTCGTTGGGAGACCTAGCAGCGGCTGCTTGGTCATTGCAGCGTTACTCCGCGGTTCTTTCTTAAAAAAACGTGTAACGGAACTGCTGCCTGGGCAAACAATTTGTATACTCCTTGCTTGGACGTGAGAAACTCGTCCTTGTGGAGCTGTCGCAGCCTGTTGAGACTATCCAATATGTTCGACAGACCCTTGTAGTCTCTCAGCCAGAGCTCTTCCTCCTCTCGTGTCATCTCACCTGTGTAAGGCATGGATTCTGCTTCAAAATGAAGGCGCGCTCTGACTCTACATGTGTCGGCTGCACCTTGCGCACGTTCGGTGAGGTTGTTTACGATTGTACCGATCTCGCTGAAGATGTGGTTGATGCGCTGATCAGCCATTTCGACTGGAGCTGGAGAAGTTGCTCGGCTTTTTCTGCGTTTATATGAAATGTGAGATCTTTTACGCACTGACTCATGCGCTGCTGTTGTCTTGCAATCGCGACACTGTTTGTCGACCTGCTTCGAGCCGAAGGACTTCAGATGTGAACGTTCTGAATGCATGTTCGACGAGGATTGCAGGTGCTTTGCGCGTGCGCTACAGGTCAGAGCAGGCTCGTCTATTTTTCTTCCCTTGGCAGCAAGTGTGTGTGGTAATCGATTCTGCTGTCACAGGTCCTGGTGTCAGAAACATCAAGCTATGCAGGTTGCAGTGGGTAGTTGTCTGTCCTGTTCCCAGCAAGCGAAGTCTGTATCTGAGTCCCACCACCAGAAGCGGCGTGTCTCGGGATCCATAAAACCTTGTGAAACACATTCCGTTTGTTGATTTGTGTGGTTATGCCGGTTATGCATCTTCTACTTGAGGTCCGAGGTCTTTACATTCCCAGCCCGCTTTCCTGAGAATTCTTTTCTTCAGTGGCAGCTCGCGCACCTGAAATGAACGCTCCCTTCTTTTAGTTGTCGTTCCTTCCCTGAAATCACTGTGCAAGTTGGGCATGTGCATCATGCGCCTTCTGAACGAGGCTCAGGAATTTCGGGCCTCGGAGGTCGGATTCTTCCTGCGGGAGCTCGCGCTTAAACGTACTGAATTGCATGAACGTGGAGCTCATTGCCCGGTCATGCCTGGCCTTTACTGTGAGGAAGACCTCCCACCAAAGGCCTTCTAATCTCCAGGTAGCGAGAAGGCCGCCTCGAGAGAGCATTCGTTGTTCTATGTTGCTCTCATCGTGTGTGGGTCAATAAAGTGTCATGAGCTTAGAGGCTTGCATTTCGTGATGGGTCCGGCACCTGCAGCACTCAGAGCTTCTGTGTGGCAAGTACGTGGTTTACCGGCATCTGGGCTTCCGACGTTGCCACTCTCGCAGCCTACAGTTATTGAAGTGGGGGGGTTGGCTTTCGGGATATCCACATTTTTGGAGCAACTTGATTGTCCGTGCCTCCCTTCGTCAAGGAAGCGTTCCATGGCTGCTGTGGGATCCATTCTGGTGACTTTAGCCTACCCACTGTGTATTCAAGTGTAAGCTTTGTGCTGCACGTGACGTGTTGCTGTACTCTTGCGAGCGTAATGCGTATGGTTGTCAACGGGTTGTTGAGCCAAAGGATATCCCCGGTGATGCATGTGTGCACAGGTCTATCGTGATTATTGCTCAGTGATCGACGTTCTGGGTGCATGTGCGGAAGGCTTGTGGGTGCTAGTTTTTCTCTTGCATTCATGATGTACGGACTCACAGCACGTACAGGTCGTAGCGCATGCCGTCGAGCGCAAACTTGGTTGGACGAGTGGCATGTCAGCGCTTGTTGACAGTGTTTGTTTCACTTATGGATCGACTCGTCACACACAGCACTGAGATGTCCGCAGTCGATGACCTGGTGTCTATTTCCCCCTCGCCTGTGCAAGGTATGTCGTGCGAACTTCCTTTTTGTTGGTATGCTTTGTTGTAGTTCTTTGTTGTTCTTTTGTTTCTGTATAGTTCCACTGCCTGGCAGCGGTTCGTTTTCCGGCTCCTCGTCTGCTTCAGGAACTTCAGGAGGGTCTTCTTCTGGTCTTGGCGACGCGAGTCGGCAAGCGGTTGCAGGCTGTTTGCATGTTCGGTTTTCTGAGACCGGCACTCGGGCTGCCAGGTATCCCACGGGAATGTGGGTGGATCCTGATTCTCAGTCAGTGCTCCAGTGCTCCGTGTTTTGAAACTTCGGCTTTTGCAGGCATGATCTGCCTCTGTTCGGTGGATCTCGAAGTTGTATTCCTGATGCATGGGACGTGCGGGATAGTGATTTGTTGGATTTGGTTGTTTTGGATCCGGCCTCCGGATCCAACCAATCTTCTAGTGCCCACATCAAGTCCTCCCCTGTTATGAAGCTCACCTGCACAGTCGAAACAATATGTTATGGGTTGTTTGCATGCAACCATCGGCTCATACTGCCTCCCAAGTGTCCAACCACGCAATCCAAGGCATGTTGAAAAAAAAGGCGGCAAAGAATGAGGGAAGCTTGAAGTTTAAATAGCTCTCGGATCGTTGCCAGTGTTGTGTTCGTGTGCTGGACATGCACGCAACACAGTGCTTGTCTGAGGAGAATAGTGTGACAGCTCTTCTTTTGTCTGTGCCGTTATCGTTATCCAGGCGAACTGTAACTGATGTTCACTCATTCGGTGAAGTGTCCTGGTTCTCGATCTCGTTCGTAGGTGCATGCCTCGGTTGATGCTGTTCTTGAACGACGGTAGCCTAAGTAGTGTCTTGGATGTGAGATTACAGCACTGTTACACGAAGAAGAACAAAATGCACATGCGTGAAGTCGTGCGATGCTGCCCTGCAAAATTTGCTGTGGCAGGGCCACCGAATCGAAATGTTGGAATGCCTTAGTTCGGAAGGGCTTGGATGAGGCATGGCAATCTTCAGTTAGAAGCAGCAACGCGACATTGACACGAACAAAAAGAACCACGTGCCTGTGACAGCCGTGTGTGAGGTCATATGATACTCACTTGCATCCTTTGCTGCGGTCAGGTCGCTGACTCGAGCTGTCGGCATACCTTAGTTCAGGAAGGCTCAGGGCAAGAGGATGCTGAACTCGAAGCAGCAATGCAAGACAAACAGACCTGTGTGTGATCCCATCAGTAATGCAGCGCATGCTGAGAAATAATTGCCGTGTCGCGCGAGGCGCGGCCTGATGAGTGAAGTGAGATCTGTGCGTGAGCGCAGTTCTCACAAGACGCGTTTACTAGAGGCCTGAAGGTGAGGCTCATTTTTCGATGTCGAGTCGATGGCCTGAAATGTGAACCCGTTTTCGGAGCTCTGGAAATGCAGGCTCATCTGGGGTCTGAAATCTGGACCTTTTTAATCCGGAGCTCTGAAATCAGGCTCTTTCAGGTTCGTGGGGAGTGAGCCTGAAATAGGAACCTTTTTGAGGCTGATCTCTAAACACGATGGACGCCGGCCCGCAGTCCGTGCCACCTGCCCTCCCAGACAAAGCAGATAGGATTGCGATGTCAATGCCCTCGTAGTAACGTGAGAGTTCACGCGTTCCGATTCACGGGCTAAGGAAGACGCCCGCTCCCGTACGGCGCTGACACACCAACAGACACTTTACTTACTGTGTGTCGCCTTCTGCGTAACACCATGTGTTGTTGCAGAAAGCGGCCGGGGCAAAGCAAAGGTCGCCAGTAGGAGATCCTATGCAAGCAGGTAGAGATGACACCTAAGCTTTCAGCCTTATGCTTGGGAAGGCGTTCCAACTGAGCATTGTGCAGAGTGTTGCGGGGCAGGTCCGTGAGGCAGGATTTTGCCTCTGCCTGGCAAAGTTTGCCTGTGA